TTTAGATTGGTTTCGAACAAGTAGTATGAAAGATCCACGAATAGCTCATACAGCAACTGTATTAAAGAACGGAAAAGTTTTAGTTGCTGGTGGTTACTTTGATGCTATTAACTATGGTATTAGCAGTGCAGAATTATACGATCTATCAACAGCAACATGGACACGTATCAGATCTATGAATCATGGACGATGTCGGCACTCAGCAACTCTATTACCTGATGGAAAAGTGTTAGTTGCTGGTGGATTGACTAATCAGGATACACCTACGAATACTACAGAATGGTATGATCCACCACATGAAATATGGATCAAAACTGGTAGTATGAATATTGAAAGACATCAGCATACCGCATCTATACTACAAGATGGAATGGTATTAGTTGCTGGTGGATTCACTACGAATCGGTAATTTCATTGAGATCTTATCACAAATTAGAAAATGTTTCTCTTTTCAGTTTTGTTGTTTCAACTAAACTAGAAATGTACCGAGCCCGAGAGACTCGGACTCGGTCAGGCTCGGTAAGCTCGGCGCTATGGTGTCAGAATTGATGTGGATGTGGGTGAGTGCGGGTACTATCTTTCGCACTCTCACTCACTATTTTCACCCACAGTCTCACCCACACCCACTCAAACCCACATCAATTCTAACACTTGAGTCCTGACCGACCCCAAGCCCCGAGCCCCGAGCCCCGAGCCTGACCGAGCTCGAGAGGCTCAGGCTCGGTACATCCCTAAATTCGAGTTCGTTTCATATCTATTCTTGATTAATTGTTTCTATTCAATTATACTATTGGAGTTTTAATATCTTTGATAAGGATTCTTTACAATCGAATTTATTATCTATAATTACATTTAGTAACATCAAATGTTGGAAACATAATCACTTAAAAATACTAGTTCATGAGTTAAACAGTGATACAAAATTCATCTTAGTATTTTAATAATTATTTTTTGTTTAAATTATACGCAATAAAAAGATACTTTTGAGTTAATCCATTTTTTCTCAGATTCTCTGCCGTTTTTTCAATATTTATTTGTTTAGTGAAAAACTCTTCGAAAATGAGAAATCATCGCGAGATTAATAATAAATATTTTGATGCTTGCTTTTTGTCGAGTTTCTTTTTCATTTGAAAACGTTTCTAACTTCAAAATAGATTGTCTAGTTTTAATAAATCAGTTTTTTTGAAGAACATCTATTGTTAGATAATTCTTTGGTACACAACTAACTTGAACATGAGTAAGTGGAATCAGTAGGAAAGAATATATTTCTAATCTTTCTAAACTGCATAAATCAATAGTTCTCCACACACTTCAAATTACATTGAGTTGTCTTTAAAATTCATCTATATCTTAAGAGTTATTATACTAGATAAGATTTTTCTTAATATTACCTATCATTTCTCACGACACTGTGTCTAAGTGACAACTTAAAATCAAAAAGAAATTCTCTTCACATAATCTTTACAAACTTAATAGATTTTGTATTTTTAGTATTGCACTTAATAGTGCTGAGTTATATAATTCATCGACTGGAAAATGGACACTAATTGATAATATGAAAGTGGCACGAAGATTCCACCATGCATCTACATTAGAAAACAGAAAAATATTGGTAACTGGTGGGTTTAGCAATACTACTCATGCATTAGATGCTGCTGAATTATACGATCCATTGACAAAATCATGGACAATTACTGGAACTATGCATTATGCACGAGCCGGGCACACAGCATCCGTCTTAGCCAATGGAAAGGTATTAGTTACTGGTGGACAGTCAAATGATCCTCATAATAAGGTATTACGTAGTGCGGAGTTGTATGATTCAAAAACAGGAAACTGGACAATTATTGAACCTTTAAATATTGGAAGAACGACTCATGCAGCATCTGTTTTAAACAATGGAAGTGTATTAGTATCTGGTGGAACAGTAGGAACTTTCAAAGATGATAATAGTTCAGAAGTCTATGATCCATTAACAGAGAAATGGTATATAAGCGGTGATATGAACTGCGTGAGAGGTCAACATCTATTATCTGTTTTATCAAATGGAACAGTATTAGTTACTGGTGGAAAAGCCAGGATACGTACATGTCCTGCAGAACTATATTAAATGCTTGGAAACCGGCGACACATATATATTCAGCTTCAAATTAATTCATAGTTGACTCTCGCGTATCTTTTATGATGTTGTTGTGATCTGTGCTTGCATACAAACTGTTAATTTGCTACACTGCTATTCGTATTATGAACTCATTACTCATTTCTTTTTGCATTTGTATCCATCACGCTTAATCTCGTTTTTTACATCATCTTTCACTAATGATTTATTTTGCACTTACCTTCGCATACATTCTCGTTTCGTCGTTCTTGCGCATTTATATATACACGATGTTACATAATCATTATATATCCTCTGTCTTTTACAGCCTAATAAATAAATAACCTTATTTAACATTTTATACCAGATTAAAGTCCATGAAAAACTGTATCTATGATTAGAATTAGAACAAGCATTGTCTAAAAGATTCTTAAAATACTTTATATTACATATGAAAATGTCATATATTATAGAACCTATCATATTACTCACAGAGTCACAAATGTATACAACTTCTTTAGCAGCTTTGATAATATCAAAATCTTTTTTTCATTGAGCACAGTCAATCGATAAAGTGATTGGTGTCATTTTCAAGACCTTTGAGTGTATATTCTCAAGATTAGTTCTGAAGAGCATCATAGTTGTATTTGTTTCAACAGTTTCCTTTTACCATCAATTCTTTAACTTTATCTTTGATAATTATATCAATATTTTCTGTTGGGTTCATATCAAAACTGTTGCTAGACCAATTTTAATTGTCCCACAACTTCACATCTTCATCCTTTAAAACATGTTTTGTAATATTGACCACCATACATGACATTTTATCCATATGATGCAATGGAAACATATGGTGTTGAAAAACAATCCTACAAAAATAGATTCCATTTGAGGATTTCCAATGTTCTTTCAGAATTCACAGTAGTATTTTTGTAGTAAGGATGTGGGTTTGGATACTATGTAAATGTGCAATATCCACCCCCCCCCCCAGCCTTCTTTTATTTTATAGAAAATAAAAAATTTAACTGATTTTAATCGAATTTCTTCAGTCAAAAATACCATAACATTAGTATTTTGATTGGCTTTATTAGTTTTTCAAAATTATAAACATCATCAAAAATTCAATAAGATGTTAATTGAATTTCGATGAATCTCATTTGAAATAACTTCTTGAATATTTTGATTGTTTATGATTTGATATTTAAAATATTTTTAAGAATTCAAATAAAATTAAATCGAAATATTGTTTTAATTCAATAATTAATTAAAAAGGTTATGAGTGGAGATATATGACGGTACCATGATCAACTGAAATTCAGACTCACACTCCTCAAAATGGGGTTAAATTAATTTTTTATACGTACAATTAACAAGTTAACAGGTAAAAATCCATTCAAATCGATTTTTTACATATTTTCTAATATGGGCATCGCTAGTAAAGTTTTTGCGTTACTCAATCGAGTATTTAAAAATATTAGAAAAATTTAATATTAATGAAATAAAATGAGGTAGGATAGAGAGAGTTGATATAAAAGAGACAACAAGAACTACGAAAAAACTATTAGAAAGAGAAATTGAGTCGGAGTAGAAAGGATTGTTACAAAATAGATAAACAAGAACAGAAAAAAAATGAGAATACGAAGAGTCGGTATGAAAGAAAAACAGAAAAAGATAAGGAAGCATACAGACAAAAAATGACAAAGCTATACTCAGATGTGAATAAAAGTTTTGTTACCATTTAACAATACAAAGTGCTTATCTATACACAGGTAAGTGTAACCATCTTATTAGCAAACATAGAGTCACATTATTATTTTATTTGTATTCCTTTATTGATATAAACTAAATATCTTATTTTTTGAATAATTTTCATTCATTCCGTATTATGTTGTATTTTAAAATAAAGTTCGTAATGTCATCGAGTCGATTCTTTCTTTGGTTTTAATCCATCTTTTATTTGCCTTCTAACAGAATCACTATGATAGCATACATATATTTCATTTTGGTATCGAAAACGATCAAAGAATTCGTTTAATAATATTTCGTTTTACAACTATTATACAAAAAAAACGATATAATTGAAAAAGAAAGAAAAGTACTTATAGTAGGTGATTTTTAATTATTTTATTGGAAATAATAAAATTCAACCATTTATTTCGAGATCCAAAAGAGAAAGCACTAGAAATAGTTCTAAATTAATGGATTTTTTGTTTAATTTAATTTTTTTTTCAATAATTGTGTAACTGTACTACTTAATTTATATTTGATTTATATATAATAAAGAATTAATAAAATAAAAAAGTAATTATTTCTTTATCTATGTTTTTTTATTTAACAATGACAGAACGTGTGATTAAACTCAAGTAAAATATATGCATTAAAAGTACCATGTTGTATGTATCAACTATTAATTGTTTTCTAAATATTAACAGTTTATATTAGGCACACAACGTAATATTCTTCTGTGTATTCATTATTGTTTTTCAATACAAGAAGGTGCTAATATATCAACCAATAAATTATTAGTAAGTTAAAAAAATATTGCGTTCTATATATTTTTGTACAACTTGGAAAGCGATGACAATATCTAGTAAAAAACAAGAAATCTATTTCTGTTTTCAGATTATCTATGTAGAAAAAGGTTCAACAAATTAGATTAAAATGACACCCTTTTAGTTGATTTTTAATTAGAAAAAAATCGGTTAATGACGCATCTTGAGAACGTAGGTGAATGGCTATTTTGTTCATGGTTACTCATATCTACATCCATACTCCATCTACCTTTCTACTAAGTTGATGTATAATACAGATGAGGACAATGCCGTCGTCAGAAAACTATAGCTCTTCTTGTCTTTAATTAGTCTACTCATTATAGAAAATCAGTAATCAACCAGCATAACAAATGGCATTCGTAAGAAGAGGACGCTTTGTGAATAATTATATCTCAAAGGTGCAACAAGATAATTGGAATCCAATATTTGGTTATAAAGATCGAGATCTTAAGTCATTAGAAGAAGCCGTAGAAAGCATCATTCCATTCGTCAACAAAGTCATGGAGTATGCAGAGGAAGCTAAACAAAAATGTAAAAAAAATACAAAACTGACAATAAATGCATCGGCAGCAATCTATCTTTACACAATGGATACACCTTTTTATGAGAAATTCAACAAAGCTCTTCGAGGTGAAAATCCACCTGCGTTGGTACCATGGTTCGACTTTCTAAAACTGTTCATTACCGCTCTAGCGAAATTACCGTCGCATCCAGCTACAGTATGGCGAGGTGTTGCAAATATTAGTGGCTTAGATTTTTATAACAATGATATGTTCACTTGGTGGAGCGTGAACTCATGTTCGTCGCGCGCCAGAGTCGCTGGAATTTTTGCAGACAAGAAGGGCACTCTATTTTGCATTAATATTATTTATGGCAAAGATATTACTGAGTACTCATCGAAGGAAGACGAAGAAGAAATCATTCTTATGCCTGGAACTCAGTTGCGCGTCAAAGACACAACGTTTGATGTTGATGGTTTCTCCGTCGTTCATTTGGAAGAATGGTTAGTATGTGTGGAAAATATTACAGGCCTCATAACGGTCCTTCTTTCTTCAGGATATTCTTCTCCGCTCTTTTTTTTTCTTTGTTTCTTTAGTTTTCATACAAACACCCACTCAAAAATCATCGTAAAACATATGAACAATACTTATGTTATATAGTGACCTCTCAGCAATGTTTCTAATAGCAAGTGTACTAAGCATAGATAGAATGTACAGATCAGAAACTGCTGCTAATACATACTGCTTTATACTTTAATCAAAAAACTTACTTGAGCAAAGTATAAAGCAATATATATATTGACAATAGTATGTGATCTGTAGCATTTCTTGAGGGTGGTTGTGAATATGAGTGTAGGTATCGCTTATTTTTTTATGAACCACACTCATCCTAGTGACTACTTGATGAAAATGTTAGTGCCTATCAATTCACTTGAGGATCTGAGTTCGACTGCCGCATCCTTCTCACAACTTCACGTAGTTCAGCTGTTTCAAGATATAGTAGTATCTTCGTATGAATGACTATGACATTACAGCTTTTTCTCCAGTTGCCATATATCTATTCTGTAGCATTGAATCTATATCTTCTAGTACTCCGATTCCCGAAGGAAAACATGTCATGATATCTTACGATTCGAATAGTCAAGAAACTGTATCCAAAATTTATCATTATCTACACCTCGAACATATACCACTTTGGCTCAATAAACAGAAAGAAACGACGAATGATCTAAAGACAAGGTATAATTTTTTGTACTCTTTTCCATTCACTGAACATTGCAAGTATACTATTCTTTTTCACAGTTTGGCTGAAGGAGTAGAAAATGCTGCAGTCGTTTGTTGTTTCATAACTCCGAATTATGAAAAATCTGACTTTTGTCAACTTGAATTACAGTATGCACAGAAACGGCAAAAACGAATCATCCCATGTATACTCACTGATATAAATATATGGAAACCTTCTAATTGGTTGAAGCTGATAAACAAAGACCTCGTACCGATCGACTTTGACAACGTCTCTAAACCATCAACCATGGAAGAAAACGTGATGGAACTGATTTATCGAATAAAATACCAATCTCCAACACCTCAATATATACCGCCACAAGTAGCTGATAAACCGAGCTATCTATTTGAACTGATTAAATATGAATATAAACGAAATAGTCGTATTGAACGTTTCATGAATCCAGCCAAATCTTTTTCAATCGACCAAAGTTACATCAATTTGGCCATAGTAGAAACTATAGATCAGCATGAAAAAGAAAAGAAGCTTCGTGATTCTCACAACAACGATGGGATTATAGAAGCATTTGAAAGTATTCATGGTACCAAGACTCCAATAGATGTCAAAGAAATTTTCAAAACATGCAAGGATAAAAGAAGGAATGTACTCGTATTCGGTCGAGCTGGCATTGGAAAATCAACATTTTGTCGATACGCCGCCTACCAATGGGCAACTGGCATGATTTGGCAGGAATATGAACTGATTGCTTTGATTCCATTGCGTTCCTTGACAACACACCGCTATCCTATATTACCAGCTGGTACCAACTATTCTCTAATAGACGTTCTGAAAAGAGAGTGCTTTTCTTTCGATCAATATCTATCAGAAAAAGATGAAAAACAATTGCAAGAACAATTTCATAACAGTCGCATCCTGTGGCTTTTAGATGGCTATGATGAAATCGTACAAAATGTACCTACACATCTCAAAAGTTTATTGAATGATCAGTTACTGAAGACTCCACATCATATCATAACATCTCGTCCATATATGAATACTTTATCGCATTCTATGCAATTGGAAATTACAGGCTTCACAGATGATAATATTTCTAAGTATGTTAAAAAGTTCTTCAATCAAATCGGAGATGAAGCAGAGAATTCATCTGCTGAAGATGAAAAACTATTAAGCTTTCTCAAACGTAATCGTAGGATTTGGGGTATTGCACACATTCCGATAAACCTAGAACTTATCTGTAGTGTTTGGAGCAATACTCATTGGTCAGAAACAAAAACACTAACAATGACAGGACTGTACGATGAAATTACCGAATGGATATGTAGACGATATATGATGAAACAAAAAGGAGTTTTAACCGAAGAGCTTAAATTAACAAGTAAAAGCGATGTTTATGAGGACTGTAAAATCGAATTGGCATTTTTGGAGAGCGTCGCATTTTATGGGATGAAAAACAACTCTATCATTGTACGACCGGCATTGCTCGAGAAAGCACAGAATGATACTAAGTGCCGTTTAGTGAAATATCCGCACTTACTCAATATTGGTCTTCTCAAATCCGTCAATTGTCATGGCACGGGCAATCAAAATGAAATACAGAAAGATCATTACTTTGTACATCTTAGCTTCCAAGAATATTTTGCAGCACGGTACTTGGCCACTGCTCTTAATGGCAAAGAACCTCACAAAATGATCGAATTTATCCAAGACTATAAATACGACCGACGCTTTGAATTAATGCTGAGCTTTGCATCGGGCATTATCGCAAACACCTACAGCACTAAATGTAGCGACATATTCTGGGGCACGATCTCAAGAGAGCCATTAGATAAGGTTGGCATACGACACATGCAAGTTGTCATTTCTTTCTTAGAAGAGGCATCTCATAATGAAAACTTCCAACAATATAATGAAATTATGAACTATATAATCAAATGTATAGAGTGTGCCGTGCAGTCAGAGTACGAAGTGATACGCACCAACCTAAACGAGACCTTACATAGAAGTCCCTCGATAGTAAACAAATATGAAGTATTCGAAATTCTCACTAAACTTTTGAAAACCAACAATGAACACACATGGTGGAATGTCATGGCATTGATGACCAAAACACCACTTTACAATCCGCCGCCGCAGTTCATACAGTTGCTAGTGACTGCACTAAGGAATATCAATGCTAGTATACGAGAAGACGCATGTCAACTACTCGGTCAGCTAGGCGGCAAAGCAGCGACGGTGGACGTAATCGCAGCGCTAGTGATCGCACTCAAAGATGTGGATTATTATGTAAGACAGGTAGCATGCAAAACATTGGGTCAGATGGGTGACAAAGCAGCGACGAAAGAGGTAATTGCAGCGCTGGTGGTTAAACTGGGGGATGCGAATCATATTGTCAGAACTAACGCATATGAAGTTCTCGATCAGATGAGTGAAACAGCAGCAGCGCAGGACGTGATTTCAGCACTGCTGTCCGCACTGGAGTCTGTTGATCGTTCGATCAGACAGACCGCATGTGTAGCTATCGATGAGATGGGTCTTAAAGCAGTGACTAAAGAAGTGATCGCAGCGCTGGTGGCCAAACTGGAGGATGTGGATGATTATGTGAGACAAGTATCATGCAAAGTACTCGGTCAGATGGGTGAAAAAGCAGCGACGAAAGAGGTGATCGCGGCGCTGGTGACCAAACTGGAGGATGCGGATGATTTTGTTAGAAGCAAAGCATGTGAAGCTCTTGGTCGGATGGGTGAAAAAGTAGCAACGATAGACGTACTTGCAGCGCTGATGACCGCACTACGGAATCCGAAAGAAATTATCAGAATGAGCGCATGTGAAGCTCTCGGTCAGATGGGTGAACAAGCAGCAACAAACGACGTAATCACAGCGCTGGTGACTGCACTGGGGGATACGCATGAGATTGTTAGAAAAGAGGCATGTGAAGCTCTGGGTCGAATGGGTGAAAAAGCAGCAACAGGCGACGTGATCACAGCGTTGGTAATCGCACTGGGATCTGTTAATCGCTGGACCAGACAGAGAGTATGTGCAGCTCTTGGTAATATTGGTGAGAAAGCAGCAACGAACGACATAACCACAGCGCTGGTGACAGCACTAGGGGAGGCGAGTAATATTGTTAAGCTGAGGACATGTGAAACTCTCGATCAGATCGGTCAAAAAGCAGCAACGAAAGAGGTGATCGCAGCGCTGCTAGCTAAACTGAGAGATCCGGCTTGGATTGTCAGAGAGAGAGCATGTAAAGTTCTCGATCAGATGGATGGAAAAGCAGCAACGAATGACGTGATCGCAGCGTTGATTATCTCACTAGGAAATACAAATAGTATTGTCAGAGAGAGAGCATGTGTGGTACTCGGTCAGATGGGTGACAAAGCAGCGACGAACGATGTGATTGTAGCGCTGGTGAACACACTGTGGGATGTGGATGATTATGTGAGATCAGCAGCATGCAAAGTACTCGGCCAGATGGGTACAAAAGCAGCGACGAAAGAAGTGATTGCAGCGCTGATGATCAAAGTGTGGGATGCGTATGATATTGTCAGACTCAGAGCATGCAAAGCTTTCGGTCAGATGAATCTTGAACCAGCAACGAACGACGTAATCACAGCACTGTTGGTCGCACTGGGGGATGTGGTTGATTTTGTGAGACAAGAAGCATGCAAAGTACTCGGTCAGTTGGGAGAAAAAGCAGTAACACACGGCGTGTTTCCAGTGCTGGTTGCCGCACTAGAAGATGCGAATGATGATGTTAGAGAAGAGGCGTGTAAAGCTCTCGATCAGATGGGTGAAAAAGCAGCAACGATGGATGTCATCGCAGCGCTGGCGACAGTACTGGAGGATACCGATAATATTGTCAGGGAGAGAGCATGCAAAGTACTCGGTCAGATGGGTCAAAAAGCAGCAACACATGCCGTAATTCCACTACTGGTGACTACACTGGGGGATGCGAATAATATTGTCAGGCTCAAGGCATGTGAAGCTCTTGGTCGGATGGGTGAAAAAGCAGCAACGACAGATGTAATCGCAGCGGTGGTTACCGCACTGGGGGATACGAATCATTATGTGAGACAAGAAGCATGCAAAGTGCTCGGTCAGATGGGTGAAAAAGCAGCAATAAACAACGTGATTGCAGCGCTGCTAACGGCGCTAAAAGATACCGATGAGGTTATCAGACAAGAGGCATGTGAAGCTCTCGGTCGAATGAGTAAAAAAGCAGCAAGGAAGGACGTGATTATAGCGCTGGTGAAAGTACTAAGAGACAGTAATGATGGGGTCAGACAAAGAGCATATGAAGCCCTAGGTCGTGCCAGTGAAAAAGAAGTAACGAGCGACATAATTGCCTTGTTAGTGGATGCATTAAAAGATGCGAATGCTAGAAAGAAGGCGTGCGAAGCCCTCGGTCGGATCGGTGGAAAAATAGCAACTAGTAGCGTTATTAACGGATTATTATGTATCGCTAATGGCGATGGCTACGCGGCAGTGGAAAAAATTCTGGTTTCTGCGTCCACGCTGTCTAACATAGATTCGAATACAGTTCGAAAGTTATTTGATTTTTGGAAGCAGCAGGAATGGCGGGTGTGTAATATACTCATAGAAAAAGTTATGGAGGCCTACATGTTTACAAAAATCGCTGAATGGTGCCCTATTATTAGTTTGCACTCCCTTCGTATCGGCTGTGCTGTTACTATTGCTGGGCAGAAGGTTATTATTTATGGCAACTCTAATCCAATATTGTTTGACATGCCGAGTTGCTCACTTTGCAATGACTTAGCTGGCGTGTATGCTAATCAGAGTGGTTTGGCTTTTTATCTCCCAGCAAATTCGAGAAACACCGTTTTACCGTTTAAACGGTCATTGTCGCCTATTCTGTACCGAAAGGACAATAAACGACAAAAAAGAATTTAAAGATCATTCTGTTTTCGTTTTCACCTATCAGTCAGCTTTCCACAGCGTCACACATATTAAATCATTGCTGAAACGATTGTATACGTTAATAAGTTTTTTGTAATAAATAGCAAGAAATGTGTTTAATCACGTTCATGACCAATGAATAGCTGTCTAAATGCTCAAAGTAGATTAACTTTTTTACTGAATCTGTGGTTCTGTTAATTTATATTATTCATGTATTTGTTTTTATTTTTTCAAAGTATATATAAAAGATATTCAAATCGTTCGTAAATTCAATATATCGTTATCAACTCACAAGTTATATTTCTAAATTTATCTTATATAATTTTGCTTGAGTAAAATATTGTTTCTTTCATTTGGTAGAACTTTGGGCAACATTAAAATTAAATGAATGAAAATCATGGGCTAATACGAATATTAGAATACCGAAAGAATACATAAGAAGAGTTTATGATATTGTTAATAGAATATGTTTAATAGTTTTCTTTTCCTTTTTGTTCGATTATATGTAAGATATAATTATTATTTATTTATTAATATAACCGTATCATCATATATTACCTCTTATTGAACCTTATTCCGAAAGCTATTGTTAACTTAAAACTCACATTGGGTATAGGTGGATATGAATGAAAAGAGTTGACACCCACACCCATCCTGAAGATAGTTTATATAGAAAAATGGACCCAGATATGAGATACACACGTAGACAAAAGTCTTTCCTCTCTCTTTATTTCTGCGCTATTATAATTTGTATAAGATTTATTGCCTAGTAGAGATATAACTTGAGAGTTTTATTGTATTGTGATCTACATAATATACTGAAATAAAATTCAAGTCATATCTCTCCTCAGCAATAAATTTTATACGAAGTATAATAGCAAAGAAACGAAGAGAGGAAAAGGTGGGTGTGGGTGTGGATGGGTGGATGTGAACGAGAGAAGAAGAGACACACCCGCAATTACAACCACACCCTCAATTTCGTCTCGTTTATTATGTAAATTTTGCTTTGCTTGTTTATTTCCGTTTCAATGTAGAGCACAGAAGTCGATTATGAAAATTATATTGATTATATTATTCTTCAATTTGCATTGATTAACAATGTATAATGAATGAAGCCCCTGAATTTCTACCTAAAAGTTTTTTTAAATAAAATAAATAAAGAACTTATTCTTTATTTTATCCGTTCCTTCCTATGTATTAAGGAGTGGGGGTGAAGGTGCGCGTTTAAATACCTAAATGTAAGTAATAATAGCTCTTTTGCATTATATTTAGAGGTGTTTAATACCTTGTGAAAATACAATATTGACAAATTTTTTTCGATTTCTATTTTATTTGAATTCCTTTTTTTCTAATTGATAACTAGGTTTCTTCCCTCTTTTTTTATGTAGATCTGCATCAGCACTGACAGCTTGATAATATCTTCAAATATAATCCCACAACTTGTTCTTTACTTGGTTTATAATTCTCACAATAAAACTATGCATTTCATCGGAACCACCTTTAGCTAAATATTTACATTGGCTTTCAATTCCTTCGCATACTTATTCATGTGATTGATATTATCGTCTTCCTGCCTTATCATAGCAAGTATTTCGACATGCAAAAAAAATAATGATACAGAACTTTTTTAATAGTAAGATGGCGCAGTAAGATATACATCTTTCATTCTTTTCCTATCACTTTACATCTAATGTTTCGAAACGAAATAATACGGTGGGTCATACTATAGACAGTAGTATTTTGAAATTTAGGTTATAATGACGAAGAAGAGCAGATAAATAGCGCGTCACATTAGTCTACCTGAGCAACAGTTCTGAACACTATCGATACTTGAATCATATGAATTTATTTTTGAAAAAACTACGAAAGGTTAATAAATCATTTTCGGGAGTATTGAATGAATGAAGCATGAAAAACATAAAAATTAGAACAAATAAAAAAACATTCTGAAAGCTGTGCAGTTGATAAATAGTTTGATGATTATCAATCCAACCAACAGAGGAACGAATGTCAAATTGATGGTAGCACTGGATGAACCTCCAATCGTTGAGATCGATTGACCTCCAGTTGTTGAGATCGATTGACCTTCAATTGTTGAGTTCGATTGACCTCCAATCGTTGAGATCGATTGACCTTCCATTGTTGAGGTCGGTTGAAGTTCATTTCGTACAACAACTTCGCTACATTCAGGAGATACTGCATTGTTCAATTGAATCGTACGACTGTCTTGACTGATTGTAACATGAATTGGATCTCCAGCAAATAATAGCGTGGTACTGAAACCACTAGGAGTCGGAATGATGTCGTTAAGCGAAAATGTTGCATCAGGACATGTAAATTGACTTTGAATGCGCAGTGTATCCGCAGTTGCAGATGAAAGAATTATCCCGTTAGCAGGACAACAACAGGAAATTTTGTCACATCTGTTTTGTACAACAAATGTACCAGTCCAATTAGGAGTTTCACTGCCACCGCCACCTCCACCACTCGTACATTGATAACTGGCATTACCGGGTCCACTTGTACATTGTGTTGGATATTTGCTTTGGCATTCCGATTCGCAAGATGAACCACATGATGGAATGATAATAGTGTCTTGTAAAGTTGGTGAACAAAGATTACCGGCACAGCAACTGCAATAGCATGTATCTCCACTACAATAAGAAATACTTGCTAGAATCCATATAAAACTTACTATAATCATAGTTTGAGTTTGCATGATGTATTCACTTTAGTAAATGAAGAAAAAAACTATTTCTTGCTACACTGTGTGTACTATTTATATGCTTTTCTTTTTACGTCGTTACTAAATGCACATGAGTGGAAGATAAGAATATGAAACGCAATAAATTCTACGAAGAAGTTGTCGTCCTTGACGGGAAGAAAGATTAGAAAAGATCTCGTTATTATTTACCTAACGATAAATTTGATAAAGCACTCGTTTAAGCTGATAAATATTACTTTTTTCTCATACTGAGTGAGAAAGTTGGCGTGGGTGTTTGTGCGGATGTAGGTATGAGTGTAGCAAAGAAGAGACACTAATCCCACACCCACATCCTTATATACCTTTCTTTTTACGTCGTTATTAAATGCAAATGAGTGGAAGATAAGAATATGAAATGCAATAAATTCTACGAACAAGTTGTTGTCCTTGACGGGAAGAAAGATTAGAAACGATCTCGTTATTATTTACCTAACGATAAATTTGATAAAGCACTCGCTTAAGTTGATAAATATTACTTTTTTTCTTACACTGAGTGAGAAAGTTGGTTTTATAAATACCCATACTGGAAAACGGGTGTGATTGAGGATGTGGTGCGGGTGTGGGTGTGGGTGTAGGTGTGGGTGTGGGTGGGTGTGGGTGTGGGTGGGTGTGGGTGTAGGTGTGGTGGGTGTGGTGTGAGTTTGGATGTGGGTATTCTATTTACTCCACACCCACCCACACCCACACGCTCAAGATTATATTCCATAATATTGATACTAGGGTGTGGGGTGTGGATGTGGAGCAAATAGAATACCCACATCCAAACTCACACCACACCCACCACACCTACACCCACACCCACACCCACACTCTGATTCACGGATTCGCTAGATAAAATCGCGTTTGTCGTTCTTTTTCAGTGACTGTGAAGAAACATGTCATTACACTTTTCAATTGCAAAATACAATTGCATATCAATCGACTAAGAACAAAGCACTCTATGCTATTGCTTTTCAAGTTGATTCAACAACATTACAACAATGTCGAAAATTTACTGTTTCTCTACAGAAGTTTATTGATCAAGTTAATTCTTTTGTAAATCGAACGACATCAATGAAGTTTTCTCTTAAAATAATACCAATAGATGATTGGAAGCTTAAACGAATAAAGTAATAGACAAATTATACTTTATGTTTTTTTTGACTCGACAAATAGTTACATGTTAATCTAATTCTTAATTAGCATATTACAACTTTACGCTCACATAGATCTTATCATCATTTTTCTTCTTAATTTTTTTCACTAGAAAAGTTCAAAATTGAACGGAGTACCTACTGAATAGAATGATATTGTAAAAGGGAAAATATCTTCAGTGATGTGCTCAATAGAACATAAGTCGGTTAATATCTATCAAATGAAAATTATATTTAGTTCTACTATACAATAAAGTTTTGGTTTTCAATTTTTTCATTGATTGTCAAAGTTAGACTAAAAGGATGAGTCTTACTTTATATACAAACTATTCAATTCATAGATCTTGCCATTATTTATTGAATTCTCTGAAGAATAAAGTAGAAATTAAATATCCATTTCTACTTGATATTTCTTATAGAACATATCTTTTGTAGTTAATAATATCTTCTTCACCTGCATTCCGATACAGTTAATTGTCACGAACAAATCGAAATGCAAAACAACAATATAATGAGTACTTAGAATGGATAGAAGCTAATATAAGCGTTTTTTTTAACAACTTCCCTAAAAATCTTTGTAGCTTTCTTATATTTTTTGTTTTATTCTTTTCACAAAAAAACACATACGTATAGCCTGAAGTATTTTCCAGAAGTCTATATGAAAATATACAAGGATCTTTTCTACTGAAAGCATTAGTTTTTGTTCATAATAGCCTTGTGTAGGAAAATGATGAACACAGGATGTATAGCGTAGAATAATTATGAGCCCTAAGCCACAATAGCAGAAAAAATTTAGCTACGCTGTATTTCACTTTATTTATAGAAGCAAGATTTATTATTATTTTGTTATCAATCGATAGAACATCTCCTGCTCTTTGATTAGTACTGTTCATTCGGTGATATCGTGTTTTGAAGCTGCCGTAACGAAAATGATGAAAAGTAATGAACAAAGAAAAAACGTTTTTTTTTTGCTCATATTGATTCCATCAAGGTTCATATAATCAAATCTGATGATGAATCCTGTGGAATCTAATAGGATCCTATCATATAGCAGAATTCTATGTGATTCGTGTTGACGAAATTACATTGAACTCTGTCGAAAAATTGATAATTAAGAGTAGGTGTAGGTTTGATTGTAGTTGCATGAGAAATATAATACCTACTGACATCGACACCCACACCCTCAAGATTGATGAAAATCACATGTTTCTAACTGCTTGTATTCTCAAGATATTCAAAAAGCAATGGAACATATTATATTTCGTCACATTCCACTGGATGCAACATAAAGACTACAACAATTGGTACTTTGCAAATATCAGAGCATGAATAAATTATATAATCTTGCGGTTCTTAAAAAATGCACTGGAAAAAATTGTTATTAAAAAAAAATTTATTATACAGGTTCGTACAGGTTTCACAACGCTTCTGTTAAAAAGAACTAAGACTATATAATTTACATGTAGTGTGATATGCGTAAAATACTAAATGCTATAATATTTCTTTTGCATCTAATATAATTTAGAAAAGACTGTCAAGTTGATGTGACAGATAAGCAAGAGATTAAGTTTATCTAAATTAGAACTTATAAGTTAAATAAAACTGTCATATAACTTTGACAGAAGAGCAGATGGTAAAGTATATCTGAATCATAATATTACTCGAGAAAATACGTTATTACATAAATATTGAGTCGCTGTCAAAAATGTTTGTTAGCTACAATCATCTAAAATATTTTAATTGGTGAATTTGAACAAAAATTCTCTTGTTTGTCTTTGAGAAGTCGAATCGATTTTTGAGATTATTAATCACCTGATTGAAGTTCATTGAGACATATGAATGAATTCTTGTTCTCTTCTTCGAGATTATATTCATAGTGAATATTTAAACAAATGAAATGTCTAATTTGATAATTGAATATAGGGTGATAATAATAACGATTTCGCCTGATAAAATTTTTCCTAGTGAGTGACTTTCTGATGAGGATTATATTGTAGTTGAAAGAATAGGAACTGACCCGTAGTTCTTTCGTCGTTTCTTCATTGATGAAAGCTAAAGTAATATTTATTTTGGAATAGTTTTCGTATGTACACGTTTGAGTTTTTTAATTGAGCATTCAAATAACCGAAGAAAAATTTATATTTCTCACTTATTGACCGTCCATCAAATAAATAGAATGCATTTCTGTTATTAAGAATCGTCAATTCGATATAATGTGAAAAAGATTTTTCATCAATTGTGCAAAAGTTTGAAAGCATGTCTTGAATAAAATAAATCGGTGCTGTCAGTTCAAAAAATTACGATTTGTACAGAATTGCTAAAAATATTCAAGTTATGATAAAAGCTATTTCATGTATTTTTAATGCACATGAATTCTCCCCTCTCATCTACATCCGCGATTGTCAGATTATTTTTTATAAAAAAAATATTTTGGGAAAGAATCACTTTTTCTAGCTTGACAAATAATAACTATCTCTGGAGTTCACGGGTGATATCCTAGCTCTTCGTCCATTTACTCCTTTCATCAAGTAGTCTTTACAGAAACATCCGAAATTCAATATTTTCCTTATGCGTCTTCCTGACCAGGTGTTTGTATAAAATTCAGTCATGTAAATATTTGATGGATACACGAAAATTAGCCAAGTAATATCTATCGGAATAAATGGTAATGCTTGAATGATGATTTTAACAATGTATTCTACAGTAGACATTCCACAGTACCAATATCCCCGCCCGAAAGGTCTTATTGAATACCATATTTGATATGGAACGACACAGAGAAAAACCACAATTGTTGGGACGAATATAAACAAATGTTTTTTTAGTAGTTTGAAAAATATTTTTTTTCTTGATTCCTGAACAGTACCATAGTGATATATATGTAGGGCAAAATGAATCAGAACGAGTAAAGTTCCCACTACGTAGATGAGACCTGCAAGAAACCCAGCCGCAAGAAACCATCGGTATGTTCCACGTGACGTTGGTGTGTTATGTGATGGAACACATTCACATCGGTAGATCAGCATTGCTACGCTAGTTGTAATAGTAATAGAAAAAGTAAGGAGTAATGTAATGACTGATCGCCACCGTGTCGCATTCATTTTAAAATTAAAGCAAGTGATAAGAGCACGTTCAAATGCAACGAGGGCACTCAGAGAAAGACAGACTAAAGCGGCCACTTGATCTCCACTCTTTTCAAGAAAACAATCAAATGTTTCAGACAGGTTTTGATTATTTCTAAAGGAATATGGTTTGAAGTATTGCACAGATTGATTAACAGCAAGCAATACACTTCCGATCATAGATATAATTGAGTAAAGAACGAGATAGACACCAATGTTGGTACAACGTACACGTTTACAACCTAGAAAGACTTCAAGACTAAGTAGGTTATTGACAAGTGATAGACATAACTTCATTAAAAAGATAATTAGATAAACATAAACCGTGTCAAATTGAATCCGCCGTTTGTTTGGAATTGGATCTGTACAGTTGATACCCTCGAAACATCGATTGCACTGACAGTAACTTGTATTCGAAGAATTACTTAATATGAGTAGACCATCATTTAAACATTCAGAAGACATCTAGTAAGTGTTTTATGTTAGAAACAAAGTTTTCAAATAAATCTTCCTAGGGTGTGGATGTGGGTGGGTGTGAAGATGCAGAAAAGAGTATCATCCACACTCCCACACCCTCAAGATGGTTGGGTGGAAATAGGGTGAACGTGGGTGAAATAACGTAGAAGTGGGTGAAGAAGCGTACGAGTGGGTGAAAATCATTGGAATAGGGTAAGAGCGAGTGGAAGTGGTTGGGAATGAGTGATATACGATGAGAGTGGGTGGTATCGTTTTTAAACCCATCTCTGATAATTGCCTTGTCTTTTATGAAAAACACTCTTATTGATGAAAACTGTCGTGCAATTTGCACGGGTCTCTACTAGATACTCAGGAGATAAAACTAAAATTGTTTTCTGTTTTAAATGTCAGATATGGAAGGAAATACTTAGAGAAAAAAGATATACAATTGAGTCTAGAAAACAAAGTAGCAGATTCAATTCTATATCATTATCCTCTAACCATGTCCTTATACGAGTCAAGCGTTTTTGTGAGAAATATCGAACCTTGTTTTTATACTTTTCAAACTGGTTAATTACCAACAGAAGTAAGGTGATGATGATTGTTGTGATCGTTTTCAGGGTTTTTTGAATAGTTGAAATTTTTTTGGCACTCTCGATATACTTCGGCAGTGTTTTATGAGAGATTTTTTTATATTGCCATTCTCCATTTCTCTTTTCATCAAGATTGACATCTATTTACTCACCTTGAAAGTGGAACTGATAACTTATCTATGTCATGCAATAAAATTTGACAACTGTTTTCATAAATCGCACCAGAATATTGATTCTGCATGATGTGTCAATAATTATTTTTTATTATTGCTTCATTTCCGATGTTTTTTTTTCTACATTGTGTGCGATCAAAAAACACGTCAATAGTACAAATAGGGATCATTCATTTTTTATTAGTCTTTTATTCTGAAAGCAAACGAAACTTAAACGAGTTTATGTGTATCAATGCCAGCACGTATAATTAAACCAGATTTTATAACGGACAATGAATGTTATATTAACTGTCCTAAGAAAAGAACTGCTTATGAATGGCATTTAAATGATAGAAATGATTTTGCATTGTAAAAGGCTAAAAAATTTCATTTACAATACCAAAAACTATATGTTGCAAGACACTAGCTGGTAAGTTGAGCTTATGCACTTTTCCAACATGAATTATTCGTCTCACAAAAGAAAACAGACGAATGACTTGATCAAATATATGTGTGTTTATAGAACTTGTCTTTTGATTTTACGCGTGCTTCTTTATACCTTTTTGTTCACTAAGAACGTGTATCTACACTAAGCAGACAGACAGCTACCTAAACAGACGCAGATCATTTGTATGAGAGAAGTGCACGTTCAAGAACTAGGACTACAGGAGTTAGAAGTCGTTTCATTTTACACATCAAAGTATCTGCTGATAAACTTTTGTTTGAAGATGAACAAAAATTAGGCAGTAAAAAGAGAGAACAAGTTTTCGTTCTTTTTTTGGATGTTTTCACCCTAGAGAACTTATTCAGTCTTATACTCGTAACTAAAGAACTAGGGCGCTGAGGGTGTGGGTGTGGGTGTCAATGATATAGAAGACGATGCACCCACACCCTCAAACATTTTTATGCTGAATCAGAAATATCTAATAATCTCTATTGACAAGAGTTTTCATTTCATCCGAATATTCTTTCTACTAAACTATTAAATTTTGACAATACAAATTGTGAAATAATAATTCTAAGACATACTATACTTATGATTAAAAGAAAAACTTGTTTCTATACAATATTTAACGTGCTCCTGTGGCATAAGCGGTAAATGCATCCGGCTGTTAACCGGAAGACAGGTGGTTCGAATCCACTCGGGAGCTTCATTCCTTTTTTTTCTCATAATTCTATTTGATACTATGTTGAAAATAATTGGGTTATTGCGAAAACTTTCGTCATCTACAACCAAAAACACAACAAATACCTGTATGACTCATAGTTTTTCTTCCTTTACTTCTATACTGTACTCGAAATTTTGTAATTTAACGAACATAATACATGTATATTACTGTCATTAGAAATGTTTATTGTACCATCTTGAGAGTGCGAGTGTGGGTGTTTTCGCTCTGTACACCCACACCATCAAGATAAAAAACAATTGATAAAATATAGATTTTGTTTATTTCTTTCATCAGCTCCTATCTGTGAGATAGTGGAATGATTCATATCTTCTAACAATGTGTCATGTTGTTTTTTCCTTATCTATTATGGTTGTATCCAACACATACACATATATATCTTGCCATCTTTCTTTCTTTCCATCAATAAAAATACCTTCCCCGAAGATCGTATTTTATTGAATATCAAGACGTGACACTATTTATAATTACTAACAGAATTACAGTTCGTTCTTAACATTTAAATTCAAACAAGACAGTAATCATGGGAAAGGTAAGAATTTTATTTTGATTTCATTTTAATATCTAAAAATCTCTTTGTTTTTCTCTCTAATGAACAGAGTTATGCAAATTATATGTCAAAAAAGTTTTTTGATCCAAGGAATATTGAGAATATGAAACGTCAATATATGGCTGAACAAAAAAATGCTAATGAAAAAAGACGACAACAGGAATTACATGAACAGCGTCAACGTGAAGAAGAAGTTTTTTCAAATAAACAATTGATGGGTGATGAAAAAGCTCGTCTAGGTCTTTCATTTATGTATGATCCACCAGCTGGTATGGCTAAAAAAGAAGAACAAGAACTTCGACGACCTGATGGAACATTAATTATTAAAAAAGATGAACCAAAATTTGAATGGCAAAGAAAATATAATGCACCTCGAGAAGTATGGGCAAAGAATGATGAAACAATTCGAGATCAACCATTTGGCATTGAAGTTAGAAATGTAAGTCAATAAAATTTCGATTTAAGAATTCTATAATTTCTTCTTTTAGGTACATTGTTTAAAATGTAAAAAATGGGGTCATGTTAATACAGATAAAATTTGTTCATTATATGGTAAATCTCGTTTAATGGAAGGTGAAACTGATCCAGTAAGTCAATTAAGTTTAACTCAAAGTAAATCAACAACAAATGCACTAATTAAAGATTTACATGATAAAGGTTTTGCAATGAAACGTAATATTGCTGAACATATGATGACTCATGGTGATATTAATGATAATGAATCAAAATTTGAATTAGAATTTATGAAACAACCACCAAAAACAACCAAACGTAGTCTTAAAAAACATCTTAAACATCTCGAACGAAGCAATTAATGTTTAAATTCTTTTGTTTTGTTTTCTTATTAAAATTTGATTGTTTATTCTAAAATACATATATATGTACCATAACTAATTGATGTTTTCCATACTTATTGCAGGTCGATTAGTAATTATGACTGGACGAACTTCATATCCAGAAAATTATGGTGGTGGTGGCAAGTATTATGTAATATATTTATTTATTTTAAAGTATTTATTGTTTAGATAATGAATGGAAAATCGGTTCATTATTAACACCAGCTCTATATAGTGCATTTCAACATCAAACTGCTATACTAAAAAATGATTTATTAGGAATGAGTGTTGAACCTGTAACACAAAATGAACAACAAGTTCAACTAAATGATGTATCACCATCAAATGTTGAATTTGTATCAAAAATACTTAATAATTTTGTTAATTATATAACATCATTTGTTCAAAATGTTCCATTAAGTATTGTTCAAACATGGTATAGTAATTTTCAACGATGTGGTACAGATAATCCAAATTTTTGGAAACAGCAAAATTAATTTGAACTATTTTTTCTTATTCTATTGATATATTATAAACTAGCGTTTTCTTTAATCATTAAATATTTCAAATATTTATATATATATCTTTCTACAAAAAACCAACATGCAAAAACAGAACAAATTCAATATATATACCAAGAAAATGGGTGTGAGTGTGAATTTTTATCATAGTCTACACCATTACCCAGCTACTCACACACTGTCATATAAGAATCAAAGAAAAGACAAAATAAATATACGACAATAGTGAAATGAAAATATCTCAGAATTAACAATCAAATATAGAAAATATAGAATACAAATAATGAAATTTTACCTGTATTTGATGTCATTCAAAGAAAATAAATAATTTCATATCAAAACTGTTCAATGACATAATACTGTTTTTCATCTTATTTCTTCAACGAGAACTGAAAATGAAGCAAAATGGATATGAGCATTGTATTCTACTACAAAAACTACATAAGACTATTACATAAAATGAAAATGAAAATTGAAGGCGAAAATTGTATATATCATATATAAACATTATATAGACCTCACGAAAGATGATCTCCGCTACAGACCATTTCCGAAGATCACAGGCTGATCTTTTCATGAAATTATCACTGCGAGGAATTACTATCAAATTATAAAGACCAACTCTCTAGCTAGCTGAGATCTCGGGAAAGAACTTATTTCAAAGATCATCATGGTGAACAAGTTGTAAAGTCCTAATTGTTCCAGATTTTGGGACAAAAAGTTTTATTGTGAGCAGGTCTTATGAAGATATATGTGTGAACAAAATTTCACTTCAATCTGTTCAGTGGTTCTTGAAAAATTGGCAGATTTGGACTCTCGTTTGTCAATTTTGTCATATAAAAGGTATTTCGTAAATGCGTATAAAATAGCGACGATTCAATATTTTTTGAAACAGCTTGCGCCAAAAAAACTCAAGGTTCTTCCCTCTACAACATATCTTAAAATGAATAAAATTAGACCACCTCGATTGAGCAGGTTATGTGTATTTGGTCGTGGCTTACATGAAGTGGCTTATATGCTATACTTCTTCAAACTATTCTTCATCATCCAAGGCTTTGCTCAGTATAATACAATAATAAAGACAAGTTAAACAAAGTAAATTATTCGTTTTTTGTTTTTTTCAATTCATTGTCAACACATTGGTTACAATAATAATCGACGATTTCTGGTGATATATTTATTTGTGTTAACTTATAGAGAATATTCTCATGTTTAATGTTAAAGACGTAAACATGTCCGTGAAAACCTTTTATGCATATACAATTATGTATGTGTATTGTCTTACTGGTCGGCTGTGTTCATTGCGTTTTTATTACTTACAAAGATGTTCTCTGTATGCGTGCGCGAGGAAGTAAAAAAGTACAGTTATTTATCTCTTGCATAAAGAAAATATTAATTTATTTATTTATTCAGAATAATAATTATAATTCTTCTTTTACAACTTCAATGCTCTGTTTCATAATTTCAATGCTCTGTTTCACATCTTTAAGTTGAGGATGATTTGGTGGTAATGAAACTTTGAAAATGCCAAGAGCACGTTCAAAATATGAGAGTGCTTTCGAATATTCTTTCATGTTCCCATATAGAAAACCGAGATTGTTGTACGAAGTAGCCAAGTCAAGATGATTTGCAGGAAGAGTTTTTTCTGAAATTTCAAGTGCTTTTTCGTAAAATGAAACTGCTTTCAAGTACTCTCTCATGTTCATATATACTATACCAATATTGTTGTAGGAAGTTGCCAAGTCAGGATGGTTTGCAGGAAGAGTTTTTTTAAAGATTTCAAGTGCTTTTTCGTAAAATGAAAGTGCTTTCAAGTACTCTCCTATATTGTTATACAAACTACCAATATTGTCGTAGGAAGTAGCTAACGAAGGATGATTTGCAGGAAGAGTTTTCTCAAAGATTTCAAGTACTTTTTCGTAAAATAAAAATGCTTTCGAGTACTCTCCCATGTTGTTATACACACTACCAATATTGTTGTAAGAAATAGCTAACGAAGGATGATTTGCAGGAAGTGTCTTTTGTTGAATTCCAAGTGCTTTTTCGTAAAATGAAAGTGCTTTCAAGTACTCTCCCATGTTGTTATACACACTACCAATATTGTTGTAGGAATTAGCTAACGAAGGATGATTTACAGGAAGTGTTTTCTCAAAGATTTCACGTGTTTTGTCGTAAAATGAAAGCGCTTTCGAATACTTTCCCATCTTATTATACACACGACCAATGTTATTGTAGGAAGTAGCCAGCGAAGGATGAATTGCTGAAAGAGTTTTTTTAAAGATTTCAAGTGCTTTTTCGTAAAATGAAAGTGCTTTCAAGTACTCTCCCATGTCATGATACATACTACCAATATTGTTGTAGGAAATAGCCAACGAGGGATGATTTGCAGGGAGAGTTTCTTCAAGAATTTCAAGTCCTTGTTTATAATATTCAATAGCCTGTTCATAGTCGCCTTGATCAGCTTTGACAGATCCAAGATTGTTATAATAAAGTGCTTCGTCACTCTCGCTCGATGGTTGTTCAAGTAATACTTTATATAGTTCTTCAGCCTTATCAAAATGTCCTGTTTTGAGTAATAAGTTACCCAATTTTATCCACCCTGTGCCACCTCCAACTTCTTTGCTTATATATTTAGTAAGTTGCTGGAGCTGTTCATCATCATCAGCAGTTAGTTGAAGTTCTACTTGATAAAGTTGATCGTTATTGTCCATTTGTTTAATTGTATCTATTCGAAATACGGTGTGCATGGAGAAGAGAATTTCGTCTTCGTCACTGTAATAACTAGCCTCGTTAATAGAGGCGAATGGTGCTGATGAGACACGAGGATCAATAGTCATTATAAAAAATATTCCTACTTTATCAGCATTTCCTGAAGCACTCTCGGCATAAACAAGAGGAAGATCTGGTTGTGCACTGGTTGATAAAAAGCTATTAAATGACAGTAGGCCATCTTTTGTTTTTCTGAGTTTGTCGAAATCAGTTTTCGACAAACCTTGTCCTCGGTAAACTATAAAAGGCTTACCATGATAATTTGGGAGTTGTTTTTCATGTAGTTGATATAGTTGTTCATGAAGATCCCGAATAAAAAATCCCATATTAATAATTATATCGGCATCCAATGTCCGAAGTGCTCGATTGAGCATTTGATAAATAAAACACTCTCGTGTATACCACCAAATCGCTTGTTCTCGACGATAATCATGTTGAAATTCACTAATAATATTTAATTCTGTGATATCGTCAGAATAAAATTTGTAGCAATACGCAACTAAGATCTTGATGGCTTGTTCTTGATCATGCTCCATTTCAAGGAGAATCTCCTTGAATATTTGTGTGTACATGTAACTTGGCTCCAGTTGATTCAGGTGTTCACTGGACACTATTTCATTCGTCGTGACGAAGCTTATAGAAATTGAATCCCGATTGACTTGCCTGACATCTTGTTTGTCATCTACTTTTAATGCATCGCAAATGCCCTTGATATCATTACTCGGCCACCACAAGGCAATTAATGATAACTGCCATACCAAAAATAATTTAAATAGAATATTTTCTTTCGACATTTTTTCTGAAAATAATTATGTTGATAAGAAAATCAAAATTAAGTTAAGATTTTAGATCGAAATAAAAATACTGAAAGTTAAATCTATATTTATTAACATGAGGCATCTTTAGGGTGTAGGTGTGGGTGTATCTTATTTATATCACCCACACTCATCGATGACCACAGCTCGTAGCTGTTTCAACATATTCTGACAATCCTTGTTCGTTGGATCAATAGTTGCGTCAATCCAAACCAACAGATAATTTTGGACTATGCGCTGACGTGTTAATGGCACTGTTATTATAACAATGATGTTAGAGGCGCCTAAACTGTAGAATGAAAGAATCTTTTTTTTTGATTGTTGTGCACTCCTATTGATGTGAATCGCAACTTGTTGGTAAATACGAACTTATAAGTGAGTGTTATTATTCGAAATGAATATAGAGAACAAAACATTGGCTTATATAGGTAATGATTTCTTTTTTTTCGATCTTTCTACGACGCAAAATGTTTTTATCTTTTCTTGGCACATGGAGTCGTAATCTACTTTATTACATTCAAAAATACTCTTGTAAAGGATCATAAAAAGAGAGAGATCAACAACGTCATTAGACGAACACGAAAGAAAGCAAAAGTCAATAACATACTATATTTTATTGTTTATCTTTCCCACTTTCATTTGCCTTCATCTACATAATAACTACAATGTGTCAATGTGCAGATTGTTCTTTGTTATCGAAAAAGTATCAGAACAGCGCTTTGTTGTATATCGTTTTATTTCTTTTAACAGTGAAACTTGTTTATGATATAATAATTGAAAAGAAAACGTTATTGCGATGTTTGCGTATTAGTCACTGTAAAGACATTGAATCAATCAACGAGTAAAAAATTAGATTTACAGTTGGTTGAAATATGTTCGTGAAATCTTTTCTATTTTACCAAATCTAATATGGTATTAATGAATTTGTATTCCGATTGATAAAAAAGAAATCTCGGTCGGATTTTGTGCACTACATGGATGGTTATGCCGAAATATATTGAGGATTATCTAATGCGCATTTCATACTTTATAGATATATATACTCCTTCTCTCGCGCTAGAAATAATTTATTTAGACTTATATTTAAATGAGCAATAATAAAATCGAAATGAGCAATAACGAAATTTGGCAATAATAAAATTGAATGAGCGATAATAGTACTGAATGAGCCATAAATATACTGAACGTGCAATAATTATACTAAATGGGCAATAATTATATTAAATGAGCAATAATTTATTTAAATGAGCAATAATTTATTTAAATGAGCAATAAATCGTATGTGTAAGGAGCAATATAAATCCAGGTGTTAAATCCCCTCTATAACAGAAGACCCCCTCTCAATAGAAGAACCTCCAATAATAGAAGACCCTTCTGGAAAAATTTTCTATACAAATTATGTGTATTTTGATGAGGATTTCAGTAAATTTAGACTTAGTTTGAGAAATATAATAGAAGACCCGGTGGTCTTTTATCATGGACAGGGGTTTACAGCACCATTCGTCTGCGTTAGATATTTTCTTTTCATTCTTTTGATTGTATCGTATAGATGGCTTATCCAGATCTACACATATATATTGTTTTTTCCTTTTTACCTGAAGTATTTTTCAAACGTTGACTAGTTCAAGTACTTTTCTTTCTCCTTATTTTTCCCTCATTGTCTTTGAATTTTCCCATCCTGTTTATGTGTATATATTAGAGGTGGAATCGGTTCGTGATTTTTTGGAATCGAACCGAATTCTGCCGAAAAATTGTCAAACCGAATCTAACCGAACCGAGCTCAAAAGAAGTGAAGTCTATGGCAAGTTAATCATCAAGTCAGCTTTTCTCGAGGGTGGGTGTGAGTCCGTGTGTATGTTCACTTCATCATCATCCATACTAACACCCACACCTTCAAGAGGCTGACCATGTAAAGCAAAAGAAGCTTTATTGCTATAATAGTACATTTATTGCTCATTTTCCTTTTTCTTATGATCAATTGTAGAAATAAAAACTGGCATTTTTCTTTTTCTTGTTACCAAAATATGAAATTAATATTGCTATTCACTGGATTAATTATTAACCATTTCATAATTTAAAACTGCTCAAAAAAGATTTTTTTATTGCTCAAAGATTATTGCTAATTCGTATTTTAATTATTGCTCATTCAGTCACTATTAGTGCTCATTTAAATACTAGCCATTTATTTATACATATATATTTTTTCATTTAGATCTTCAAATCCAAAGCTAACATTGAAAGCAAGTATACATGTGACTGTTAGAGATTCAAAATCATTTTATGAAAAGATAGTTTGATGATGATGCCGCCACTTATTCTTTGACAAAGGGTATTATTTTATGAGTTCTTATACAAATGTAGATACAAAAAAAGTACATTGATAACGAAGAAAAGCAAACGTCATTGTATTATTATCACGGTTGCCATGTTTTTTTTGTTCTTATATGTATACATGCATAAATATGTGAGTTACGAAGAGAAGCAGAGTTGAATATTTTCAACAGGTTTTTTGCTGTTTTCTCCTACTGTATTTCCATTCAATTGATGAATTTAAAAAAATATATTAAGTATGAAAGAAGAAACACACTCTCACATATTGTTAACATGAACAATGTTATCGATATATTCAAAAAAAAGAAGTTAACGTTTGAATGTTTCTTCAGTTTATTAAAACAGACTAAAAGACAATAATATCCACTGAAATCATAATGTGTTACTCAATATATCATTCATCCTATTACTGCTTTATCATAGGAAAACAGGTGTAATAAGTTTTTCTCTAAATGATATTGTGATATTTACTCTAAAAAAATGTTTTTCCTCTCTCCATAGAACAAGATTTTCAGTATGAATAAGATTATGCTTCATTAGATAGAAGATAAATATAGTACATTCACATTCTCAATCTTTGTTAAATAGTGAATTCAGAAAATATTTCTATGTGCTCTACATAATTTACCTAAAACTCAAGAAAGTGTTGCTCGTCCAAGAGATAAAATAAAATTTTCTGTTATTTGAGTAAGTAGAATATTATGTTTACGAGCAACCCTGCAACGGCAATGTCTCAAAATAAACCCACTTTAAGACTTAATCCACCGATAACCGAACGATTTCAACTTTACGAATTTTTCCATACTCCTAGCCTACGTTATGATCCAAAAGAAGATATTCAAATTGAAGAAAATATCAAACCAGCTCTAGAACAATCAATTACTTCTAAAGATGAAGACTCAACTCGATTTAGCCAACGCTTAACTTTCAATGCTACACAAAATCAAAATGCAGAAGATAACACAACATAGTAAAGTATCTAAGATATAGACTCTGGTAAAGACTCGCACCCACACCCTCAAGAAAACGAAAAGATGTATATTGTCGGAAGTTTCTAGTTTATTTATGAAAGATCATTATGTGATTAATATTTTGAGTGTAGAAAAAAAAGAGAGCACTGAACATGATCGATTTTGTTATTTTTCATTTAAATCTCATGAATATTGCCGTTAAGATGTATGTTATTGATTAAGCATTACATCCTGTCGACATAATGGACATCTCGTTAATTGTTCTTGTTGTTGATCAGCACAATCATTACATAAACATTTATGACCACATGAGAATAAAATCACTGAACTCTTGTTTGTTAAACAAATACAACATCTATCTCCAGTGGTAGTAACCATAGTTGAGGTTGCTGTATTGGTTGTTTGTGGTTGACGAAGATATTGATTCAAAGGAATATCATCTCTTTGAGCAATATCTAACAAATGTCGATATTCTTCTTCATATAAGGATTGATCATTGAGAACAAGCATTTCTTGTTGAAAATATTCGACTAAACGTGGAAATTGTCGACGCATTGTTTGATATTCATCCATAATATCAGGTGTAGCTGATGCTTGACGTACTTTCAAATAACGTTTGATAAATTTTGTATAACGTACAAGTAAAATAGCTTTGCGTATCCCTGAATGAGTAAATGAATCGATTTGTTTCGAAAATTGTAAATCCTGTTCATTGGTTTGTGTTATACCTTCGAGAGTATCCCATGATGTATGCATTCGAAATAATTGATCATTTTGATCTTTTTTTAAATCAATCATTTGAAATAAAAGATATCCACCACGTACTTCATTTTGATTATTCATTGGCAATGCAAATTCACTAACTAATTTTATTGATTGACGAGGAGTTATTTGATCTTCGAATTTATAGACTTCAGGTGAACCATAACCTTGTCCAATTCGATAACGTTCTCCCATTAATAGAAATTCAATATTAAATCCAACTGGTGTAACTGTATAATGAAATTGTGTATTCATTAATTGATCAAACGTTCGAGCATTTCGAACATTACAATAATTACAACCAATCGTCTTTGATACTGATTGAATCACTTCTGTTCCTAAATCAAGACCAACACCAACAACAGTTGACCAGATTCTTTCATTTTCTGCATTATCTTTAATATGTTTTAAAAATTCGTGTCCATCTTCACGTGATACTTCCATATCGGTGAGGAAAAAGATTCGGCGACTGATATTGTGATTATCATCTTTATTCTTCTCTCGTGTATGATATAGATCAGTTGCACATTTCACTGCTTCAGTAATATTTGTCCCACCACCAGCACGTAGTTTTAAAATATCTTCTTTCAATTGTTCTTTATTGATTGACGATACTTTTTCGATGGGATGTAAAACTGTTGCAGTACTATTAAAGAGTACAATACCGAGTGCATCATCAGGTGAAAGTTGTTTGAGAAGTGTTAATAAAGATTGTTGAGCAATTTGAACTTTTGTTTTACCTGGTTCACCTTCGAATCGATCAGACATCGAACCGGATACATCAAGTGTTATAACAAGTTCGAGTCGAATATTATTTGAACGAATACCTGGACCATCGAAGCGACTGTTCAAATTTACACTGAGCCAATGTTCAACATTTTGATTGCCATTTTCCAATGGATTAATCGTTGTAGCCACACCAAATAACGGTACTAACATGTCTGTTGTCGTTGCTTGAGCGGTAAAATAATGAGCATAAAATGAACTTTCATAACTGACATCATAAATGACATCAACCGGTGCTGCGGCTGCAAGTTCTTCTTCCGTTAATTCTTCTCGCCCTTGTTCTTGAGCTTGAGCTTGTCGTTGCTCAGCGTATGCTTGATAGGCAGCAGTTCGACGAGTTATTCTACTACCGATTGATTTACAAGCTGTTTGTTGTGTATGACCCATGTTGGAAGGAAACTGAAACGCCAGTGAAAAGAAAAGAAAGTCAGCGATGATTTATATAGAGATTTTTTGTGTTTTTACCCTGCATCATGACATATTATTTGCTCAAGATAAGCGGGAATAATAATGCAGAATTTCTTACGAAATTACAACAGTCATAGCTTTCAGCGGGTATTTTATTTTATATTTTTTATTAGACTCGTCACAATGTACATAGAATGACAACAGGGATTTTTTTTTAAATAGGGTTACATAAATTTAGTTCTTTTTTATGTTGAGCTTTTTATTCGATCGATTGAAAGAGCTATAAACATGACTCTTTTAAAAAGCGCTCTTCAATGGATATGCTAGGATGTGGGTGTAAAGTTTAAATAACCACACCCTTAAATAGCCAAAGCTTTCTTTAAATAGCGCAATATTTAATTAAAAAGCATCTCGTTGGTCGACTTTGGAATAGATACTTCACCTTGATACGTGATAAAATGAATTCTATGTTTGACAGTTTTATCTATATGAACAAATAATGATTGTTCTTCTCAAATAAAGTTAAATTTAATCACGGCAAAAAATTAATAAAATTGAGTATATATTTGTCTATATATTCTGATCATAGGACATCTGTTAGATGATTTAAATGTATATCGTAATCATTTTTCATGACATTTAATCTTCTATTTCATTCGAAAGTATATTTCACAAAGAATGTTCATGAATCGATCATTGATTACCGTTTTATTCTTTATGAATATTCAAGCACGAATTTTTCTTTTTGATACTGAAGATAGTCGTCGAGTGGAACAACACGATTGTCTCTATTATACAAGTGATGTTTCTGTAAAATATTGTCGTCGATCTAATAATGGTTCTACTTTGGATCGATCAAGTTTCACGTGCTTTAATGGTGGAGAACAACTTTCGTTTCAATATTTACTTGAACAAAATATTTCTCCTCAAGAGATTCTCCAATGGAATTCAAGTATTGAACGAGCCGATGATTATGCCTCATTCTTCTATTATCGAGATGAGAAAAATCTGATGAATGATGAATTTCTCTGCCATTGTATTCATCCGGGAACATTTGGAAAATATTGTGAATATCATTTTTTGGATGGTGCATTGACGTTTGAACAATCGATTAAACAACAATTCGAACAAAAAGAAAAAAATCATTGGGCTGCTCAACATTATGGCGATATTCTTTGTTATAAGACGATTCCTTGCTATTCAGGATTATTATGTTTAGATTGGAGAAATATTTGTGATGGAGAACAACAATGTTCTGGCGGTTACGATGAAGAAAATTGTGATCTATTAGAATTTAATGAATGTGATGATGATGAATATCGTTGTATGAATGGAATGTGTATTCCTGAAGATTATTGGCTTGATGGTAAATTCATTTAAAATGTACAATTTCACATTGAAGAATTTTTATTTCTCTATATTATTATAGGCGATTCAGATTGTATGGATGGTAGTGATGAAAAAACAGGTCAATTACATAACGATTGTTTCTATCAACCTGATCAATTTCGATGTGATGAGAAATTTTGTTCACGAGGCCAATGGTCATGTGGTGACGGTCAATGTATTGAAGCTTGGAATCGTTTCGGATATCAACAAATATTTTCTTCAGATGATTATTGTCTTAGTCATCGAGAACTAAATCATATGTGTGAAGCTAATTGGCGTTGGCCTTTATGGACTTTATCGCAAACTGGTTTATGTACTAATCAATTTGGTTATGATGATCCAGAATTAAGCATGTCTCAAACTTCTTCATCATCAGATGAGCGATGTACTTATCTAATTCGATGTGCTTTATCACAAGGATTTGAACGTGATTGTGTTTGTAATCATTTGAATTGTTCACAATTGATAATCGATCAATGTGGGCCTGGTCCTCTCTATGCATATCCTAATCAAGCTTTGGTACGTCCTTATATGTTTTCTTTGTATGAGATTGATCGTAGTTGGCTTGATCGTACACCAGATCAATATCTTTTCGATGGTGAAATTCTCTGTCGAGGATATTATGGTAAAATTTCAGTATTGGATTCGAAAGGGTTAAATATTAATTTTATCTGGATTCAACAGCCTCATATTTATTTAGATTTCGAATTCTGTCGTAAAGTTTCCGTGAAAAATTTACTCGAATTTCATTTTGATATCGGATGTTGGGCAAATCAAACATTAACTTTTAACAAACGATCGTATGCATTTGATCCAAGATTTTGTCCAAATTCACACCGATGTTTATCTCAATATCGTTCTCGTGATCGGATATCTGATTGTTATGAAGATTCCGATGAAGACGAATCGAATTATACTGAACTATTTTGTAAAAATATTCGAAACCATCGATTAAGTTGTTCACGTCAGGAACCATACTGCATTTCAATACATTTGATCAATATTGCCAATGGAATATGTTCTGATGGTTATGATCGATATTTATTTGGATCTGATCGTGATATAAAACATGTCTTCTGTCTCAATCGAAATGATCAAGATTGTCAACTTCTACGAGATTATATTCGAAATTCATCAATTCGAAATATGAGTTCAAATATTCAATCGATTCAATCGAGATCTCGTTTGCGTTATCATTGGTATTGCGATAGTTTTTGGGATACACCATCGCATTCCGATGAATCGGTTGAATTCTGTCAATCATGGATTTGTCCAAAAAATCAATATCAATGTCAAACAGGTCAATGTATTCAATTGCAATGGCTCTGTGATGGTGAATGGGATTGTTCGGATGCATCCGATGAAGAAGTTCTTCTTTCCATTATGCACTTTTCTGAACATAATCAAAAACTCGATGATTTTTCTAATCGAATAATAAAATGTTATCAAAAATATTCTAATCAATCATTTTCTAAGATTTGTAATATTTCATCGGAATTGCCTTGTTTTCGTGCAAATGTTTCCGATCCATTAAATATTAACGAATCTCGTCCATGTATTCCGTTCAACCGAGTTGGTGATGGATACGAAGATTGTGTTGCTGGTCATGATGAGAAAAATACAGCAGTTCATTGTCTTGGTTCTATGCTTGGTTTTAATGTTCGAGGAAATGATGGAACATGTTATGCATACAAACATATTTGTTCATTGATATCCAATGATCCAAATTGGCGTACATGGTGTTTTTATCGAAATAATAACAGTTCTTCATGTTCAAATAAGAATGATGTTATTTGTTTAGACGGCTCATGTAGACCAAATGCTCGTTGTAATAAAAAATTGGAATGTACTCATGGAGAAGATGAATATCGATGCATACTTTCTTCACTCGAGAGTGAAAGTATTCAATATCGTTGGGAGAAAGAGTCTGCTAGATTTTCGCAAGAGCCACAGTTACAACTGAATCTTTATCCATCACTATCAACGATTGAATCAATCCAATCAAAAACCAAACGGTTGATGATTATGGAAGAAGAAAATGCTTTTATGTGTAATCGTGGTGTTACAATTGGATGGATGAGAGAATACAAAGTCTGTTTTTGTCCACCTACTTATTACGGAAAATATTGTCAATTTTATAATGATCGTTTAACAATCATTACTCATTTGAATTTATCAGTAGAAATGAGTCATTTGATGTTTAAAGTCATTGTAACTTTACATGAGTCGGATATTGATATAGCCATCAGTCATTATCAGTTCATTGTTAATGGAACATTTGAAAGACAGAATTACGTCAAACATCGTTTTACTTTACTTTTTTCAAGACTTACTGAAATGTTAAGGTTTAAACAAATCCGTTATTTTACTCGTTCAAATATTCTAGAAAATCAACCATATTCAATTCATTTTAATCTCTTCCAATTAAATAGCAATGAAATAATTGAATTAGGTCGATGGACTTATCCAATCTACTTTGATTTTTTACCTTCATTTCGTTTAGTAAAGTTCTTGAGTTTCCCAGATGAATTTCTAAATCAAACAAATCATTCTTGTATTAACCATTCATGTCCTTCGAATTCAATCTGTTTACCTATTATTAATCAACAAGATCAATACTATTGTTCATGGCAAAATGGTACTTATGATGCAAATCAATCTTATGAACCATTATGTATTTCGTATTGTTCATCGAATTCTTTTTGTAAGCCTGAGTATCGTGGATTTTTAAGTAATCTTGGTCAACCTTTCTGCGTTTGTCCATTAGGTTATTTTGGTCCACGATGTAATTTACGTCATGAAGAATGTCATTCTCAGCCATGTTTCAATAATGGTACGTGTTATTTAACATATGATTCAACAGGAGAAAATCCATTTCGATGTGAATGTGAAACAAATTTCTATGGTGATCGATGTCAATGGACAAAATCTTTCATTGGAATCGATTTGAATATGACTGATCACAAAGCAATAATATCAGTCGTTCAATTTTGTGATGTTTTTAGAACTTCGTACGAAATTCTTGTTCAAGACCAACAATTGATCAACGGAATACCATTGACAGTATCATACAATCATCCTTCAATTAAAAAACCAATTCTTGGCATTTTAAAAACCTATGAAGATTTGAATCATTTAAACTATTTTATTATTTATTTTTTTCCAAATACTACTCAAATGTATATGATATCAACACCACAACAATGTCCACATGTTATGGTACTTTTGAATCAAAAGCCATTCGATAATCAAGATGGAATACCTATTCTTTTTAAATATCATCGAATTTGTCAATATTATAAAGATTTATATTGTTTTTATAATGATGATTATCTTTGTATATGTGAATTGGATCATCATCGAGCCAATTGTTTACTGCATGATATAAATATTGATCGATGTAATTATTGTTTCTCAAATGGAAAATGTCTTCGTGGTAGTTTGAAAGATGAGAAAAATTTCTTTTGTATTTGTCCTCGATGTTATCAAGGTGATCGATGTCAATTTTCAATGGAAGCATTTGGTTCAACTATTGATTCTCTTCTTTCATCACATTCATTAACAATTTCATTGATCTATATAATCATATCTGGATATCTCTTATTTATTGGATTAATCAATAATATTTGTTCATTCGTTACTTTTCAACGATCAACACCACGAAAAGTTGCAATCGGCTATTTTCTTCTCATCAGTACTCTTCTCAATAAATTTTCAATTTTCTTTCTATTCCTTAAATTTCTCTACAATTTTATTGGATCAGCAGGATGGTTTAATGATGACCGCTTAAATCTTGTTCTATGTAAAATGCTTTCCTATTTTCTTTCGGTTACTACTAGATCTTTCTATTGGTTAGCAAGTTGGATAACTATCAATCGATTATTCATTATTCTATGTCCAACCAAAACATTTTTCAAACGACCTTCTATGGCTAAAATTATTAGTAGTATCACTATTTTCCTTATTTGTCTAATGCATTGCCATGAAATTCTTTCTCATATCATCATTAAACAATCTGATTCAACTGTTTGTGTAACACATTTTGAAGGTAAATTTATCACTAATTACAATCGTGTGACAACATTTATACATTATTTAATTCCTGTTGCTATCCAAATTATCTCGATTACTTTGTTAATTTTTCACGTTGCTCGAAGTCGAACAAGATCAAGAGGCAATGCAATCTTTTCTCGATCATTTTTGACAGAACAATTTCTGGCTTTAAAAGAATTATATATTACTCCATTAGCAATTGCCATTAGTGCTCTACCACAAATAACACTATCATTTACTTTAGCTTGTCAACAATTAGTTCAATGGCAAAAGCATCTTCTTCTATGTGCTTATTTATTATCGTATACTCCACAAATTCTTGCTTTTTGTTTGTTTGTTCTGCCATCGACGATCTATAAACAAGAATTTAGTCAAACATGGATCGGCCAAAAATTATCTTCGAGGTTTGGAAAACTTTTCGATCGGTGAGAAAATGGTCCATTACACCTGTAAAGGATAACATTTCTAAACATTGTTATAGATGCTTTTTTCTATAAGAAAAATGATTTGGAAAAATGGATAAATGGTATTTGATGTGAGAAAAATACTTTTTATATATTACTTATATACATATACAGGAGAATCTTGAGGGTGTGGGGTGTTGGTGTGGGTGTCTCTACATATCTTTTATTCGCACCCATACCCACATTCACACCCACACTCTCCTCGATCCTCAATTATTCGATACCCCAGTCAAATTGAAAATTTTAAAAGAAAAGACTCATGTTGTATACCTTCTTTTATAATGAAAAAAATATAGTTGGAAATTTTCACTGATAACTTGATATTTCATCGTCGAAAAGTCTTTTATTAGTCATCAACAAAAACATGCGCAGTCGCTCTCATTCTCCAAGTAGTGATAAAGGCACAGAGAAAAAAACTCGATAAGACGAACAGTAAAAACCATTTTGATAGTGGGTGTGAATGTTAAAGAGGATATAGTAGGAGAAAAGATTATGACATCCACACCCACACCCTCAAGAATTATTTTGATTGCCATAAAGTATTCCCGTGTACATACATCATCAATTTAGAGGATCGTTAATTAGTTGAGTGATGATGAAAATGTAAGAAAAGAAAAAAAAAAGAATTTGTATTGACAACAAAAATAACCTTTAAAGAAGACTAAAGGTAGTATTTTTTATTTTCATAGCACAGAACAAAAAAAGAAAGAACAAAATAAACAAAAAAAATATGAATGCAATCTTTATTATTCTTATCATCTGAATCTGCTTCAATCTGTTTTGCTTTATGCTTGATATTGAAGATGAAAAAAGAAATTTCATTGATATTACTGCAATTCTTTTTTTCTGACATAGGAAGCGAAATAATTTATAATACTTAGTCAATATACATGACGCATATTTCTTGCATAATAATACCAGAAATTGAGGGTGGGTGTGGGTGTGCGTAATGGATGTATGAGATAACAACGCCCATCCACACCCTCAAAAACATGAGCATTTTTCTAAATGCTCTAAAAATTCTTAGATTCAACCAAAACCGTATGAATTTAGTAGAAAAATGCTTGTCTGAACGTGCTCTATGAAATGATATATGATTCAATGTGTCTGTGAATAAAAAGTCCTAATGGGCTAATTGTGCTTCTTATACGCCCCCGTCCTTTCCGTCACTTCCTTTTCCTTGTTGATAAGAATCATGAGATTACAGAGTGATGATTCACTTCATTGCGATTTTTATTTGGACAAAGGAGAAAGAGGTCTCTGATAACGCTTGGTGACACTATAAATACTCTATTCTCAGCAGCTTTCTCATTTCAGAGCACTGCTTAATCAAGTCAATTAAGTAAGTTATATCAAATGATCTATCTAGATTTACAACATATCTTTCGGATGTTGTTCTTACACTTTTCTCACTCATCGTCGAGCGAGAACTTATAGAACACTATGAAGTTGTGAAACTCAGTAGGATGTGAGTATAAGAGAAATACACTCACGCTCACCCTAGTTTATCACGATCATCTGAACAGACTTCTTATAAAATCATCATCTATGCCCTGTATGATTTTGTGACTGCCTATTATTTTCATTTAGAACCTCAAGAATTTTCTGTATCTAACATGAACCACCAACTTCCTTGTAATGGTAGTCGTTGTGACAAATGTGGCATGTGTCGTGATTGGCATTTTAATGGTGACCGAAACACGTGGAATTGGTTCTGCAATTGCAGAAATGGGAATGCGAATGCGAATGATTTGACTCGCTGGCGCGGTCATGAACACAATTATCGTGACGGTCATGACCACATCCATCGTGACAATCGTGATGATCGTGAGTGTCATGAATGTCGTGATGGTCGTCAGTGTTATGAATGTCGTACCGGTCGTATGTGTCGTGAGTGCCATGACTGTCGTCACGGTCGTATATGTCGTGAGTGTCGCGACTGTCCTGATTGTGGTGCCTACAAGCTTTTTACAAAAGCTGCTGGCGCTACCTGTATTGGCTTTCGTCGTCATTCTGGTCTTGGTATTGGTGTTCCTGGCACTTATCTTAATAATTATGGTGATGACGATATTGTTCTTGTTGCTGCTGGTAATGATGTTATTGGTCGTGCTTCTTATTTTGGTGGTGGTCATTTATGTATCTGTGAGATGCACTAACATTCTGTATAATAACATGACATGCTAATGTTGTAATATTTCTATATTTAAGCCAAGATTTACGATTGAATAAAAATTGTAGATGAACGATAAAACGACCTCGACTTCCAGTCGCATGTAGACCTAGTGTGTGCATAAGATTCTTTCAATTGCAGACTCGATGGATGTTTGCTTTGCTGCATATTCAGTTAAAATGAATTAAAAAATAGATAAATAAATGCGTAAAACTACATAAAACTAATTTTTATAAGTTTAGCATGTCAAATCGTATTAAATAATATAGAGTGCCATAATAAGAAGGAAGGGTGTAGGTTTGAATCTTGTTTAATTATACCCACATTCAAATCTACATTCGACTAAAGGTAGTATTTTTTATTTTCATAGCACAGAACAAAAAAAGAAAGAACAAAATAAACAAAAAAAATATGAATGCAATCTTTATTATTCTTATCATCTGAATCTGCTTCAATCTGTTTTGCTTTATGTTTGTTATTGAAGATGAAGAAAGAAATTTCATTGATATTACTTCAATTCTTTTTTTCTGACATAAGAAGTGAAATAATTTATAATACTTAGTCAATATACATGACGCATATTTCTTGCATAATAATACCAGAAATTTCTTTTGACTCATTTCAATTCATTTCGTATATAAAATGAGTAAACCATCTTGACAAACATGACGTTTAATATGTCGTATATTTCAATATTTGAATGTTTACCGAATGAATTAATTATTGGTATTTTTGATTATTTGGAACCAGAAGATAATTTTCAATCATTTTTTAATTGTAATATTCGTCTTCGAAAGTTAGTCAAACAATATGTATCATACAATCGTCATGAACTTGATAAAGATATTACAAGATTTTCAACGTTACATAGTTGGTATAAACATTTGAATTTTATTAATGGTGGTGTAATATTCTATTTAGTGCCATTAAAGGGTGAACAAGAACGTTATGAATTCGATCCACGTATTTCAGATTATAATGGTATTCATTGGCATTTCACAGAAGGGAAAACTATGTCACTACCTGATAAACGAATAAAGAGAATTAGTCGAAAATATCCAATTAAACTTAATCCAATATTTGCTACTCATGGACAAGGTTTTTCATTTTTTGGGAAAGATAGTCGAGATTTTATTCGTCATTATTATCCATCACAATTTGAATTCTTGACAACGACTCTTTTTTGTGAATTATATATGAGTATGCATAAAGACTATGAATATTCCGAAGATATCAGAACAATACGAAAATCTATCATCGAAAATGAACGTAAACGTTTACGAAATGTTATACGACAAGCTGCTCATTCTATATGGAAAGAAATACAAGCGTTAGAAGATATTAATATACTTGATATTATGTATGGTCAACAAACGGCAGGATCAGTTATAAGAGTATCGCTTAATGAACTTGATTTATTACGATATAAATAAAACTATTCAATTTTCATGTCAATGTTCGACTCCTGATTATGTGCAATGGACTTTTTTACAACACTAGAAATAATTTCTAGAGTGTGGGTGTGAGTGTAGTTGCAGACAGACGAGAGAGGAAACACTTACACCCACCTTCAACAGAATATTATTTTTTTAAAATTTAAAAACTTGAAAATTAAAACAATGCAATGTAAAATCTTGTCTTATTATGAAATATATATATGTATTTAATTTTGATTAATCCAAATAATTAAACTATACGGTCGGTCATCATTGCCTAAACTAGCAGTCATATATAATCCAAGTTTTTCTATTTCTTTTCTAATCGATAATATTTGATCAATTTTAGAACATCGATAAGTTCGTATATACGTTAATTTGGGTAAATATTTGATTAAATATATAGTCTCTAATTCATTTATAGAACATTTAATTTGTTCAAGATTAGAGAATATTCTACAGAATTGTTCTAATTGACCTGAATTCTCAAATGCTGTATACGATAAATTCAATCTTTTAATATATTTATTTAAATATTTGCATAGTTCATCATTGTCGAACCAACATATTAAATCAGATAATTTAGTTTTTAAAGATGTCAATTGTGTTGTCGGTTTTAATATTTCCTTAAATAAATCTATTGTTTCAAATCGTAAACCATCTAATCTAATAGAGTTAAATGTTTAATATTTGATAAATTAACCACTGTTTGAAGATATTTTATCTGTGAGTATCGCATTTCAATATTATCAAGAGAAAGCAAAAGTGGAGGGCCTAGTGATAATGAATTAATATTAGAAAAATAACATTGATTGATTTCTGTTAAGTTTTCAAGATTGATTGTTAATTCTTTTACATTCTTAAATGTATTGATATGATTAATTGATTCATTATAATATCTATTTGTATTTAACTGAAGTTTAAAATTATCAAATGCATATAGTATTGTATAAATTTATATTGAATTGGTTGATATGGAATATTCTGTATACCAATGATGTTCATTGCACCAAAAACTATTTTGAAACTATTTTCATCAATATTCATTTCTTGATTATTATTGATTTGAAAGTTAAAGGACGGGGACCGTTAAGACCACAAATCAGCCCATTAACTTTTCATTGGGAAATCGCTTTGGAAACTACATAGGATACTAGATCTTCGCGAGGCGAACATTTTGATGTCATTTTTGATAGATTTTAATGATACTTGTACGTATCAATTTGAGTTATCTTTATATACCATTTTTCTAGCTCTGAGGACGTACTATTTCGACTATATCTCGACTAAACCCAAATACCTGTTTGGCTGTGGGTGTAAGCGCGGGCTGAAAGTATGGATGATCACACCCACCCTCAACGATTTACGTCAGCAGAATTTGATTTGTTCACCTATGTCAATACCATGACTATAGTCTATTCACAATTGAAATATGATATTGAAAAAAACTTCTGATGTTGGAACATGTTAATAGATGAAATATAATAAATACAAAGATCACATCCGAACAAACAGAACAAAATGATTTTTGATGATAATGACGACAGCAACGTTTATCGAAGGCACGTACTTGCTAAAGTTGTTATGAGTAATAATTGCTTACAAAGTTACAGTAATAATGAAATAATCCGATGATTAAATTGATATTTAGATTGATTAAAATAGCTCCGTAGCATTTATCTATTTCAGTTATAATCAGAGGCGAAATGAACTGTTTGAAGGTGTGAGTGTTGATTTCGGTTCCATCTTTACACACAACGTGGATATTAGATTTGAAACCACACATCTGTGTGATGTCTCGGAGAAAATTCGCCACGTCGTGATAAACATCTTTTCTTGAGATATGTTTAGCGAGTTTTCATGGAGAAAGAAACTGAAATATTCAACGAAAACTTCTTAAATCTAGAAATAAAGTACGTGACTAGAAACGAGTCCTGACAAAATAGATTTAAATAAAAAAACATCAACATAGTCATGCCTTGTTCATCGACGTCAATCGTTCATTGATCATGATAGCTGATACTTTATTTTAGGTGAAGACACGTTCGTTGATTAATTTTCTTTTCTCGTTATCACGTTCTTCTGTACTAATAGCAAAGGATTTTTCTAAAAAATCAAAAAATTTATTTCTTCATTTCGAATCTAAATTTCATCTTGTATCTTTTGAAATAAATAAAAATCGAATGAAAAATATCAGATAATATAACCAGTTCTTTTCGTTATTCAAATCTGAAATCGATTATTTTTTTTATCTTTAACTAGAACTTCTCGAGAACCGTGTTTTTCTCTTTGTGTCATGTTGAGAGAAAGGAATGAGAGAAAAAACAGATATATAAATGGAGAATCTACAATGAGTGTCATTTGGTTGTCATCGAAGGCGAAGACCATCTTGAGGGTGTGGGTGTGAGTAACACTTTTTTACATCATCATCCATCCACACCCACCTTCAAGTATTGTATGTATGCGCTAAATACGAGTGATGTCATTTATTTCATTCTAAGGATATGTGCATTATCTACACAAGCTTTTTTGTTTCATTTAAGAGTGACTATATCTTATTCATCTCTTGTCATACTACAAAAAGCACTTTGGACGTGAATCAGCATGTGTCTTACACATTTCTGTAAATTTTAGCATTATCACCATACTATATCTATATATAAAGCTTTTGTTCAAGAAGATTGGAAAGAAATAAGTCGTACATATGGCAAGTAACAATACTGTTTCAAATAATGTTACTACTGAAGATTACTCCACATCTATTTCACCAGTATGGACAGTCCCAATAGATTCTACTTTAACTTCGGATAAATCTGTGTTACCATTTAACACAAATCTGGAACTGCAAACTTACGATACATTTATCAGTCAATCTGCATCTGACATCGATGATCTCCCACCAAACTATTTTGATGTATCAATTGTGCCTAATGGAGCTGTTTTATTTCATAATGATGTTCCTCCATATACAGAAGCATCCAAAGCAGAAATAGAACGTAATCGAAAAGGTGTACTTTCATTTGATCAACTTATTGATAAAAATCCTGATCAATTATGGCTTTATTTCATGACTTATCTCAATGAGAAACCGAAATTAGATGTCAATATTCGTGGTTATTATATAGAGGTATTTGTACTTTCAACAAATGCGTCAGAATAAATATTTCGCTGAATCTAGATAATTTCTGTCATGTGTATCTTTTCTGTTTGTAGTATTATACAGAGAGGGAAAGTTATCGACACACTAAAGGTAACTGGCAAACTCGTACTATAACAAAGTCCCGTATTGTGACTGAGTTCTATTTTTCCATTGATTTATCACCTTACATTTGTGAACATTGGTGGCGTGTTGCTGTTATTCCATCGGCAAAGGCAAAAGTGGCTGGCGAAACTGTTACATTAAGAGATGCTCTTGAACAATATACACTTTCGAATAAGAAAATCAAAGAAATAATATTGCAAAAGCAGCTACATGGCTGGAATCAAGAAGAATTAAAAAATAAACTTATTGCATTAGTTCGTTCAACTGGTTATCAGAATAATATTTCTGTCGTAAGTATAACAGTAATACTAACCGTTTGAGATTGAAATTACTAGGATAATACAGAGAATTTTCCAAGGGATTACTTACTAATTTAGATAAATTTTGTTACTATAGAACTGAAAGGGTTAAATCGTAATGAAATTTATTTTTCATTTATTTTCTAGACCTATCATGCATTCAATTATCAAATTGTCGCTCGTTCATCTTCAAAACTTAGTCGTTTTGCTAATTCAACTGTGGCTCGTGTCTTGTGTTGTATTTCCTGCTTATGTCTTATTTTTGGCCCTATTTATTATTGCTTACGTAGCATAGGTTCAACACGAGATAATATTATCGCCGAATATATGACTATGAAACCAGTTGGTACTTTCCTTCGACTTAATGCTCAAATGATTATTGATGCAGTGATTCAGCGTTCACATAAATCTTATATAGCACGTTTTGCGTAACTATGGTACCATTGTCTTTATTATTTTAATGATTTGAGTGAAAAAAAATGTTTTCAAAAAAAGTTATATTTAAAAAGATAAATAAAGAAATCTATTTCCTATGTAATTCGTTTGACTTTATCCAAGTTTTTCTGAAAATAAATGGTATAATTCATACTAATCAAGGTAAAATAAAGAAAGATCAGATATTGTGTAATAAACAATGGCTTATGTTGAGAATATAGGGTGCGTGTGTGAATAAGATTAGTGCTAGCAATAACCAGATACAGACCCATCCACATCCTCAAGATGGTTTGAAATAGTGCACTTAAAATCAGACAGCAATAAAAAAATGCCAAGACGGAACAATTATCTTTATGCATTGATTAAAAGTAAACAGAAATCTATGAAGTAGATATTATACTATTTGTATAATCAATTAGGAGTAAAAATTGAATAAATTCAAGAATTCCTTCAGGATAATCTTTACCTTGTTGATTTTTAATACAAATATCTTCGTTATCTAATGCTTCCATTGGAGTTTTTGTTCGACTTAAAATTTGTTTCCAAATATTTTCTGTTTTAATTTCAATAATTAAATTAGGTAACATCTTATCATTCCAATCATCTTGCATATCAACAATTGAATTTCGAATTTCAATTGAATATTTTTCATTTGTATCATTAAAATGAAAGAAAATTAAAAGATTTTGTTCTTCTGCTTTTTGATAATTGAAATTCACTGAAACAGTTTTTAATTAAAGATTTAAAAACCTTTTCAATCGTTTGTTTTTCTGATGGTTTTATTTGAATTAATTCTAAAGCCCATTGATATTTTTCTTCTTTCAAAATCAATTGTACTTTTTCAAAAACTTGTTTTGTTCTACCACCAAATTGAATTAAATTTTCGGCGAATCCACATTTAAAGCCGATGTTTTTTCACTAAACCAATGTAAATACTGCACGTATACTCCTATAAATATAAAAAATTCTTGTAAATAAGGATGTTGTTTAAGTCTGGGTAGTAATTGAATTAGTTTATTACCAATAATTTCATCTGCTGTTAATCCTTTATTAACAAATCGAATTGTTTGATAAATTTCATTTTTTCCAACAATTGATTTTGTATATGATGGAATTAAATATTCAACATGAAAATTTCGCATTAAATCTAATTAAGATATCCATTGTAAAGGATCTCGTGTTGTTGTACTACGTATTGCATAAATATTATCAGCAGCCAAAAGAACATTATAACAATATGATCATCTGTTTCACCTGATGCATAATATAAAACATATTTTGATTATAATTTAAAAATGAATCAATTCAACAATTAATATGACCTGTTTGTTTATTTAAATATGTTCCAAATTGTCTTGCTGCTCGTTGAAATGTGATTGGTTGAACTAAATTCATTGTTTTATCAAGAATTTTTAATGTTTTTGAATGCATTTTCATTTGTAAAAACTGCAGCACTTTCACGTGATTCTAATGTATCAATTAATATTGAATTAGCTAAACCATATCCAATTGCACAATGAATATCAGGTAAAACAGTTATAACTTAACAAATAATTTCAATTAAAATTTATAAAAATAAATCAAATTCTTCATTATGTTTCACTAAACCTTCACACATTATGGTTTTGAATTAAAATAGAATTCGTTTTGTTTTATAAGATAGAAATAAAGATAAACGTTTTTTTTGTTCTATATTTATAGAAGAATGCAAAGTTCGTAAATAGTCTTCTCTTTTTTTAATCATTTAAAAAGAAATCAAGAGGGTGTGGGTGTGGGTGTGGTTTTGATTAAGAATATACCCACACCCACACCCACACCCTCAAAATACTTTTGGATCAAATAACGCCCGAAGAATCATATTGTTTGCAATCTGAATATTATGGTGTCAACAGAAGGGGTATAGCATCACGTGTAGAAGTTTAAGCATGGATGTTGTTCGAAGATTACAAACCAGTTCAACGATTATGGCCACTTATAAAATCTTATAAATATTCATAAATAATTTTAATGAAATTTTAACAGCGAAAGTAATTTCTTTTTATTTTAGATATACATCTGATGCATGGTAAGTGCCGACAACAGATACCAACAGTTGAAAGTAGTTAGTGTTAGTTTATTCTAAAAAAAAGTATTCATAATATTTTGATCTTCGATTGAGATCAATTCTTTATAATTCTCATTTACATTCAAGGAAAATAATATTTATCGATAAATTTCCTTTATTCATAGGACCTGGGGTGCAATTAATCTACCAATTGGTAATTATTCACTTTTGTTTCGTGTGTTTAATGCAGACATCATCAGCGATAATATTGCTATTGTTCCATGTGTTGTTATAATAAGAATCATACTAATGAATCAGTATATCAACACGGAGAGTGCTGGTAACCATATTTCTTCAATTTCTTATTTTTTTTCTTTGTATAGTACAATTAGAATATGTTGTAATAGACTATGCATCATTTAATAAGTGTTATATGTATGTTTAACTTATCTTGGATAAGGATAGATTCCGATCAATTCGAGTTAAGTTTTTGTGATTTTCAAATGTAAATTCTGTTTTGTTTTTTTCTCATTTCATGGTCAGTATCATATTACATGTTAAAAGATAACTTTTTAAATTATTTTATTGTAATCCATCCTAGCTATTTTTTAAAGGTCTTCTTCTTCTTTGTATTAAATGAATTGTAATAGATACTTTTCATAACGCGGAGAAAGAATCCAAACATACCAATTTCGGAGTTAAAATAAAAAGATAAAGAAGAACTGAATATAAGAAGATGGTTATTGTTTAGTCTTTCATTTTTTTTTCAAAACAAAGACGACATACTTATACACAATCAATGGTATGGAAATTATTTCATAAGAGTCAGAGGAGAAGTTTTAAAACATCGAAGATATGTAAAAAAAAAAGAAGAAGATTTGAACCGTGTTTGAGAGGATCATATAAATTTTATTACTCGATTTTATTTGGATTATAACTGCCAGTTATCTTTCAAAGAAGTTGTTGATAAGATATTCTGTAGGCTTTGAGGTCTTAGCTAAATCAAGGATCCATTCATAGTTAGATAAACCAGTGAAAGCGCAATCAAGTATCACTATTCGAAGAAAAATATTTTCCAATTAAAAATTTACTTATCTAAAACTTATTTTCTTTGCACAAGAAATGTTATTCCCTAAATGACTTCCCAATTCTAAGTGCACTTACAGTTATAATTAGTAGTACTCTTAATTTTGAGTGTGAGAAATGAAGCATTCTTGTAAAAGTGTACTCATATTTGTGACTTAGCTCGAAAGAATTCTTTAGTCAAATGGATCTTATAGTGATAACTTCAGAATGTTTTCTTCACGAATTCAGATGCGAGCAACTACATCACGCGATTTCTCTAATATAATTACTGTTTTCCAGGAGGAATAAACAATATTTTTCGTAAGTAGTGCACTTCTAATATTTGTTCTTCAATGGTTTTTACCTTTTCAGAACCACAATCAACGTCACGAGGAAGAAAAGTAACGATTACAGTATCATCACGGCCAACACTTGGGAAGCTACCTAAACCTAATTACCAAAATATGGAATATAAAAAACTTCTTATTGGCAAAGACGAAGAAGATGTGGAGATGGCTACAAAACGAGCAACTGCATATGATGCATCACCAGAATGCAAAGTAGGTGTTGTTGTGTTCAGGGGTGCTGGCGTAGTATTAGCACTGCATTATTCTAATGTAAAGCTAGCACCTCTAGTTCTGTTGTATCTGAGTTTTAGCCAGAAAAGTAGATTACTTATGTGCATGAGTATGTCAGAAAAAGTTATGAAATGGAATAACTATTTTAGAAAAATCAAAAGGATAGTTAATTCTATATGTAGTAAATAGTGTTTTTGTAAAATTCGTTTTGTGAAACATGATCTGAAAGAGAGTAGTGAATTGCTTGGATAGAAAGGAAAAGGTCATTTGTGCACTAGACCATATTGAGGGTGTGGGTGTGAGTAGGTGGGGACACGGAATAAATTTCATACCCTTACTCACACCAATACCCACACTCTTGACATAAATAAATTCGTTTTGTAAGAAATTCTTTGTTGAAAACAAAGATCTGAAAGAATTATTTTCATTGTATAAAAGACAGATGTGAAGAATGTGTAAGAAGAGCTTTTTCAGTGTTTTTCCGTTAAGAACAACGGATAAAATCTTATCTCAACAAACAGAAATAAATAATAGATATTTTTTTGTTTATGTAGAACAAACTTCAGATAATGTCAATGCATTTCACGTTTCCCAATACTTTTTACTAACAAGTTCTTTTTTTCAATAAATTTATTTTCATCGATAAGAAAAAAATCATCCTAAATCGTTGCATTATTTTTAATGTCATCTCAAACTAAAATATTCTACATAGAAATGATTAATTCAAGTTGAATTTTTATTTATAGAAATATAAATATATAGAATCAAAATCAAATCTCATTGTTTTTTTATTTTACTTGTTTTTCTGAGAATTTTCACATAGGATTAAAAAAAAATTGTTAAACATTCTTATCTTTCTTCAGCATAAAATAAGTTTTAAAAATAGATGAAATATTCATTCTCGAAATAAAATATTTCTGAAAGAGATAAAATTTTCTTTATTATTATTCGAAAAAAGATTAACAAATTCGGTGGTTAGTTACGAGAACAATCAACACTTTTTAAAGAATTCTAAATCAATAATTTTTCTTTAATATTTAGCCTGAAACAGAGAATAAAAACAATATTAGACGATCTACTCGTCCACAAACAGGATCGTAAGTATTTGATTTATTTATTCGAAATATATCTATGATTTTAGATCTTTATTTCATCGGAAACCAATATTGATTTTAATTATCGTTGTTGTTTTCATCCTAATAACTGTCATTAGCATTACAAGATGGATTACTTTCACTAAAAAAGCCAAAACAACAATGAATGGTAAAGTCTTGTTATAAAAGAAAAAATAAGAATTGATATATTTCTTGAGCATGAAATAAATAAGCTTAACGTAAATTCCAAATCTGTAGCTCACTTACGCATACATATTCTACCTAATGATATTTGAAATTATATAGTCGCCCAAAAAAAATTAATAATTACATACAGAAGAAATCTGTTCCTGAATGAGAAGTGGTATTTCCAAAACAGAATAATAGTACTCAACCCCCAGAAGTAATACTCTCAAAACAGAACAAAAGTATTCAGTACTTGAAAGGATGATTTTCATAACAGAACAATTGTGTTCTATTTTTGGGAGTTTTGAGTTGTGAGTATATTAGACGAATCATCCACATCCTCAAAATATTTTATTTCATAAATCATCTCATTTCTCTTATTTTAATGTTGATTTACTAAGAAAACTACAACATAACATTTATTTCTAATTGAAATATTTTGAATGTTTATTCATTTATTTTATTTTGTACAAATTTTTCAATTCAAATTAGTTTTTTTGTTGATAAGTTTTCTAAAACATTTTTTTTCAAGTTTTTACTGAACAAAAAAAATCACAAATATCAAACAAAATTTGATTTTTCATTTAATATATTTATGAACATTTTATTCAAAGTTATTCTTTTCTCTTTTCTTAGATGAATAACAAGTTTTCTTTTTTTTATCAAAATCTTTTGTTTTCATCTTTTTCTAGAACCGAAATTCAACAAATGGAAACAAAATGCCATCACTGTGGCTGGTGGAAATCGAAAAGGACAAGGATTAAATCAACTTAATTTTCCTTATGGAATCTTTATTGATCAAAAGAAAACTATTTTCATTGCTGATTGTTGGAATCACCGTATTGTTGAATGGAAATATAATGCTAACCAAGGACAAATCATTGCAGGTAGAAATGGTGAGGGAAACCAAACGGATCAATTGAATTATCCATCAGATGTGATTGTTGATCAACAGAATCATTCGATTATCATTGCTGATCATGACAACAGACGAGTGATTCAATGGTTAAATCAAAATGAAAAAATTCTTATTTATAATACTGACTGTCATGGTTTGGCAATAGATAAAAATGGATTTCTTTATGTTTCTGATCCTAAGAAGAATGAAGTGAGACGATGGAAAATGGGAGAATATAACAATGAAGGAATTGTAGTGGCTGGTGGAAATGGAAAAGGAGATGAACTCAATCAATTCGATTGGCCTACTTTTATCTTTGTTGATGAAGATCAGTCTGTTTACATATCAGAGTTGCACAATCATCGTGTGATGAAATGGGAAAAAGATGCAAAAGAAGGAAGAATTGTGGCTGGAGGAAATGATGAAGGAGGAAAACTCAATCAATTATCTCATCCTCAAGGAGTAATTGTTGATCATTTTGGTCAGATTTATGTGGCTGATAGTGGGAATGATCGAATAATGCGTTGGTGTGAAGGAAAAGAAAAAGGTGAAATTGTTGTTGGTGGGAATGGTGCAGGAAATCAATCAAATCAACTGAATCATCCCATAGGTTTATCTTTTGATGATGAAGGAAATCTTTATGTTGCCGATTTTGGAAATGATCGAATTGAAAAATTTGAAATAGTTTTGTGAATAAACTTTCGGTTTTGAAATAAAAAAAAGTGTTTTTGATTGTTTTTCTTTAAAATTTAATTTAATTTAAGAATTCTGATTAACAAATTTTATCATTTTCCTACTTTATTTGATTTGATTTTGAAAAGATTTGTAATAAAAATTAAATCAAAAGATGAAAACAAATTTTATTTAAAATTTCAAAAGAAATTAATAAACATTTTTATTGGGATGAAAACAAAACATGAAGAAAATATATGAAACAAAATCGAAAATGAATAAAAGTCCTGTGAATGTTACAAAATTGAAACTTGATTTTTAATTAGAAAGAATCTTGAGGGTGTGGGTGCGAATAGAAAACAATCAAGTACTCTCACGCCCGTGGCACATCTCTGAGGCAATCTCACAATGATTTACCCAGGCTTAGTTAGGATAAAATTTGAGGACTTCGCTAAACTAAACTAAAATCTTGTATCTGAGCGTATTTGCATCCACGTCTAGCTATCTAGTTCTACTGCCTGCAAACATTGCCTGTTTGCAGTTGATTAACGATAGTTTAAAATAGTACAAAAGTATATGAATAAATGAAAAAGTACATTTTTACAATAACAAGCACAGAATGACGTCAATCATTTATCGATTCTAGCAAACAAAATAATGAATAAATATTATTCTCACTTTCTTGTCTTATAAAAAGTTTCATTTCTATTGACGCTCGGAAAATTATGCATTGCGTTCTTTAATATTTCTTTCTTCAAACAATTTTACAATATTTGAAAATAAGGACGACATAATCGTTCAAAATAGTATATCTTTTCTTGATCTTAAATTTTTTATTAATAGTTTCCGTATGAAAAAAGAAAACAAAATTCATCATTTCTGTGAAAGAATTTCTTTTTTTTCTTCTAATAATTGATATACAATATATTGTGTGACACATATTTTATATCCGATTATTATTTACTTGGAGCCGATGTAATGTGTTGTCCGGAATTTCCAGTATGATAAAGTAAAAGAAAAAGATAGTTTTTATCGAGAAATTTATTAAATTTTTCTCGGCAATTTTTGTCCGTTTATTAAGGCACATTCAACGTCATAGACTTTGAAACCAATCAAAAGTAACAAGTTACTAAATGCGAGAGTGGATGAAAAGAACGAGAAATATATAGAACAATAAATTGTTAGTTTCATTTCATTTCTACTTCGATTAAATAAATAGGTAGAAATATTTTTTTTGACGATCTTTACCTTAGTATCCTCATCAATTATCATTATTGAACAAGGTGAAAACGAACAGTAATTCGTTTTTTCACAATGGTAACCATTGGTAGGCCCAATTTATGGTTAATTTTAATCATTATTGGGCAAGTATCAGGTAAACACTCAATATATTTTCTGTAGTTTCATAAAAATTAATCATTAGGCTGAATTCGAAAAAATCGAGACATCAGGGTGTGGTTAGTGCGGGTACTCTCCGTTTTGCTCTCACTCACATTTGAATTTATTTAGAATCATAATAATTCCTTCGATAAAAGAATTAAATTTTTCATTTCAATAGAATTAACTCTATTTTTCTTTGATACTTTAGCTGTTTCTTATAATCAGCCAAAATTTTGCTCGAATGTTTCATGGAATCAAAATGCCACAATTTTTGCAAATAGCAGCACAATAGGTACAACTCCTTACAGCATTTTTATCAATACCGATAACACCGTCTATGCGCTTAATCGAATACATAATCAAATTCAGATGTGGCTTAATGATAGTATGAATCTAACCAGGACAATTTCTGGCGGTTTTTCAAATTCATGGAGCCTCTTTGTGACAACAAATGGTGATATTTATGTCGATAATACCAATACAAGCAGTTCCGTAGACAAATGGGCATTGAATTCAAACAGTAGTGTACCTGTAATGTATGTTAGTAGTGCATGTTACAGTCTCTTCGTTGATATTAATGATACTTTATACTGTTCAATAAATGCTCTTCATCAAGTTGTTACAAAATCACTTAACAGCGTTTCAAACATGACAACCATTGTTGCTGGTACAGGCTGTCCAGGATCTATTTCGAACATGCTTTATAATCCTCGTGGAATCTTTGTTAACACTAACTTAGATTTATATATAGCAGATTATACTAATAATAGGATACAATTGTACCAATCAGGACAATTAACTGGAACAACAGTAACAGGAGTTACATCCGTAACTACTACAATTACACTCTTTCAGCCAACTGGAATTGTTCTTGATGCAGACAAC